TGTGGGTCTTTAAAATCAACGCCATATTGTGAACGTTATCAGCTTTGTCCTTCTGTGGTAATTGAATTCTGTCATTTTATTCTGCTTATTGGATTGAATGAGTCCTTTACCTGCCTTCTATCCATCCTATTCATGACTTAACCTTCATCCAGCCTGTGTACTTACTGCTCATGAGTCGGGTCTTTGTTAAGTTTAAACCAGACAGAAAGATAAAAAGAGTTATGAATGATTGGAAAATGTTTTTTTCAGACAAATATTATTTGTGATGTCGATATATACAGACATAAGTTTGAGCATTTCTATCAAGTTCTACATCTGTCACTCCCATCATGTGGAAAGTATTAGACGAGGCAGTTTCCCATATCAGAAACTAGAAACAGAAGTGGAAGGATGTTTGTTTGGTTTTTCTTTGTCCTCAGGGACGACCAAGATTAACACAAGCAGAAAAATCCCCACAGGAGCTTTAAGTCATTCTGAATAGTTTGATATACTCTGTCTCATTTTATTACCAAACTCTCAAATTGTCAGGAGGTTGACAAATGTAGATGCAGAGGTTCCTACGAGCACCTTTTTATACTCAGAGGATCAGAGCTGCAGCACATTGACAAATGAGAACCATCCTCTACAAAAACCTCCTCTCTGTTCCTCTGCGGCGGCCCACTTTCTGGGAAATTGATGTCACTGCCAACATGATGTTTGTTTTTGGACAGTTGAGGACAGGGGATATTTCTTTCCTGTGATGTTTTCCAGGGAAATAACCTTGTTTTGATCATTTCTGAAAGTTGTTATCAATGACACAACTGAGGAGAAAGAGTAAAAGTGTAGGATGGAGCAGACTAGGCAAGGATTAATGATTTAACACGCCTAACATGATCCGGTTTATCATTTTATTTGATTCCTTTGAGTGTAAATAAAATTTAAGTTTGAGATGCATGCAGAAGTAGGAACAGAAGAATGTTCAGAGAGTTGTAAACTGCAGTAAAACTCTGCTAAAGTATGGGATAGGAATAAAGTTGGATTTCGAATTTGTCATCGAGACACTAATGATGAGTTTAAAAACTCTGAAGGGAAACATTGTAATACTCAACCGGTGAGTAAATTTTTAATATTCCCCACGTTTATTCCCCCCTTTAGTAGAGGTGAATAATAAAAACAGTACATCTACGGGGTCCCTGTGTCCTCTCGTATTTAATTGTTATAATTCTCTTTTTATTCAAGGTGATATTAAGAGTTCAATTCAAAGCTGAGAAGACAAAGTTGTTCCAGTTTTATGAAAACCATAACTCACGGTTTCTCTGACGTCTCCTACGGGTTTAATTCTTGTCACGCTCAAACGATGAAACCTCTACTGTGCCACAGGTGCTCATTTAAAAGTAATAACTGCGAAGTTTTAACATCAACTTTTAAAAAATCAGATCATTATAAGATCAGAGAAGTTAAGGCACAACCTTTTGGAGTTACAAGGGTCTTTGAGTGTATTGAGGCTAATTCTCTAGTTACATATTCATAATCTGCATGAGGACTGATACCCTCATAACCGTCTTTTTTAGGAAATAAAATGTTAAAATCCTGCTAAAAATAAGGATAAGATAAGACGTCATGATTCTGGTCCTTTATTTGCTGGTAACCATTTGATATAAACAGGATACATGAAGAAGAAGTAGCAGACTGTTAGCGAGTTAGCCAAAGCAGCCCTCTGAGAAATGAGTCGGTGCTTTGAACTCGTGTTAAAGATTTATTATAAATCCAAAAACAGCTTGAGCCGTTTCATGTTACTTGATTTAACAAGGGTCACACATCTGTTTCTGAAGTAGATCTTAAAGCCAATCAGCAGCAGTCGACATTAAACGCTTAAATTAATGCTGTCTCAACCAAATATTTGTTTAACCTAAAAGAGGTGAGCCTTGTCCTCACTGGGTCTCTGATTCGCCAGTCTTGTATCTTGAATAACTTCAAAACAAACGTTGTTTATTTAAGCTCCAAAATCAAGCTATTTTGACTAACTTTGTACATGGTTTCCAGTAGTGTTCTGTCGTTCGCGAATGATTCTTTCAAGAGAACCAAATCTTTTATGTAAACATACTGAACCACATCACTTTCCCAAGTGATTCATTCGTTTCTCACTCAGTGCCTATTCAGTGTGAATTCTTCACTAAACATACTGTAGGGTAAATGTTCAGTGAGCACACACTGAGCCCAGTTTACTGAGTAGACCAGATAATTAGCATACCTTTGGACAGTATACTTAAAACCTCATGATTTATGAACAAGTTACCTACCTGTTTGTCAAAGCAACACAGCCACAACACTCTTGTCTCCCGGTCCCAGAGGCTATTATCTGAACTGAATTCTGAACCGTTCAGCTGTGTATCAGTTCAGGAAGTGAGAGTCGCAGGCTCCTCCTGCTAAGCGCTTAATGATTCAGTGATTCGGTGAACAAGTCTTTTGAACGAATCTTTTTAGTGAACTGCTTCTTGTGATTCAGTACATCGAAAAGAACTGTCGTGACCATCACTAGTTTCCAGTGCTTTTGCAGCTAGCCTCTAGTGGGCACTCAGAGAACTGCAGTTTTTAGCACATCCACATCAGCTTTATTTCTTAGGACTGGATGTTGCCGTTTAGTTACTAATCAATCAATCATTTATATCTTCTAAATGCTCTCTCAGCTGATTTAACCCGGCTCTACAAACGACCAGAAACAAACTAATAAAGGAGGGTACACACTACATGATAATTGTGCCGTTTCTCCCCTTCCGATAAAAGCCTGATTATCTTGTTAGATTATCCTGTTGTTCGAGGTGTGTTGAGGTGATTATTCTACCCTCAAATGTACATAGAAGACAGTAGGCAGTAAAATCAAACTTCATCCATCAGCTGTTTCATCTTTCCAGCTAGATTTAAAAAGGTCTGTCGCCACCTGTTTCAGGACAAATGGCCCACCACCCTGGTTTGGAGACCCCAGCCTGGCCAGACCGGTGATCTGAGAGAACAAAGTCGATGGTTCCACCCGGACCACTACAGAAGCCCTGTGATTTGCTGCCACACTAAGGAAGAAAACAGAGAAAAAACACGTTTTGTTGTTCTGTTGTTGTGAGACAAAGTGGAGAGGAAATCAGGCCGAGAGACTGAAAGAGCTTCACTGAGATAGACCGACAGAGCGACAGGGGGAAAAGGGAATAACAGAAATAAAGAGAGTGAGATGGAGGCTCAGAGAGAGAGAGAGAGGAGAGTGAAAAGAGGTGAGAAAAGGATGATAGACCGACAGGCAGAGACAAAAAGAGACAAAGAACAGGTAGAAAGAGGCTGATAGATAAAAAACATACATTCACCTTTGTGGCTTTTTTGAAAGGCCTTTCCACCCAATTTCTAATATTTGTCCTCATCCTCACACTTCCTTTCATCTCCCGTACTCTCTTTGTGTATCTGTCTTTAGGTGTTTTTTTTTATATATTAGTGAGGTTACAGCTTGACTCTGAAAGTAGCCAGTGTCCTTTTTAATGAGGAAACATCAATACTTTTCTGACCTTTTGTTATTCGGTGTTGGGAGATCATTAGCTTTGTTATACTGTCATGTCAGACAAATGTAGTTTAAATGCTATAATGTATCACAGAGGAATGAAAAGGGTAGAAAACAGTGTGAGCAGTCAGCAGAAAGTCCAGGTATGATGAAGAAGCCCAGGTGTTTTAAGGATTTATATTTGGAAGTGATGGCACCGTGTGGGGTGGCACAGTTGTGTAGTGGTAAGCACTGTCGCCTCACAGCAAGAACGTCCTGGGTTCTGCATGGGTTTACTCCAGGTACTCCAGTTTCCTCCCACATCCCCAAAACATGCAGAAGTGGGGTTAGGTCGACTGGCCACTTTCAAATTGCCCGTAGATGTGAATGTGAGCATGGATGGTTGTTCATCTCTATATGTCAACCCTGCGATGAACTGGCAACTTATCCAGGGTGTCCTTTGCCTTCGTCTGAAGATGCTTGGATAGGCTTCAGCCCCTCCACGACCCCCAATGGGAAAAAGAGGTAGAAAATGGATGGATGGTACCGTGTGTCAGAGCATATCAACCCACTAAAAGCAGATCCTTGGTCCACCTCTTTGCTTTCTAATAGGTTGACCGGGGTTCCACAGGAAGTACATGCATTGGGTTACATTGCTGCCACACTAAATGGAGTTCATCTGTACCCATGCCAGTCCACACTCGAGTTTCCACAGCCTGCTAAAACTGGTTCCAGCATCATATCTGTGCCTTGACATTCAGACTAGGTCCTACCAGGCCCAAGGGATGTGGGCGCAGCCTTAGTCTCCCAATGCCAGACAAGGTACCTTGATTTCACATGTCCTGTTTCCTTGGGGTCATCGGAATCACTCTGGGTTTGACTTTTGTTGATATTTACCAGCTTTATATTGTGAACAAGCCAACGACAAAACTCAGTTTGTTTACAAAGAGTGACCAAGCACACCAGTAAGACCTCATCTATCACAGTCACGATGTTGTGATGTAGTCTTTACAGTCTGATTTAATGTCTGGATATGTTGGTAGACTAAACTGGGTGAAAGAAAATAGCCAATCACCTTTTATGATGATCTCCCCCTAAAGGTTAAACTCACTCTCTCTTTCAGTAAATATTAAAAGTCCTCACAGTTTTCCTCACAACCTTTATTTTCCATTCTGCTGACACCCCTCGCTCTGATTCCCATTTGCAATCGATCAGTTAACTTGACCCGGTGTCGCACAAATGTACGATGGAGCTATGCTCAAATGAAACATTGCATATCTGAAATGCTTCAAGGATATAAAAGGTCTCAATGAAAACATACTGAGCGTTTGGCAGCAGAGGAGACACCAAGGGGTCAGGGAGAGCCGAGGGTTGGATAAAAAAAGATGAAAATGGCAGAGAAAACTAGATAAGATGAAAGGAGGATTGAGAAGGAGAGTGAAAGGTTGAGACTCAAAGGAGAAAGGGAGAGTGATATGGGTTACATGTTCTCTTTCAGCCTCATCGGATTCTCATCTTTCTTTTCTTATTAGTCTCTATGGTAACTCTCAACGGGGACCTGATGTGAACACTAAACAGCCTCCGAGACGGCGACAAAAATCCACCTGTGGACCAAATGTGAAGACAGTGACCCCCGTGGAGCTAACGACTAAGGACTCTACAAGGGGAAGGTCAGCTTTCGCATATTAGTTTTCAAAGTTCACAATCCAGCAGCACTAAAGGCTGATATGACCCAACAGACACAAAAGAGGTTTCCATTACACCCCAAAGAAAAAAGGGATGGTTTTCTTGTGGAGCTTCTCTCTGGTTAGGTAGATTTCAGGTACGTCTAATATCCGTGTATCAGTCGACTGACGGTGCACTCACTGTGCCATCAGCTGATTCCTAACCTCAGGGCTTTCATTCTGATTATGCATGTTCAAAATTGCATGTCATACTGTATAATGTGAAGAACTGAAATACGCACAAGTCAGCCATGGCTTTATGATCATTTGAACTCTGATGCAATTTAATACAGCAGCTCCGCCTGAAGCTTCATTTTAACGAAGTGTCTATGCCTTCAGTTTTACTGACTCATTGGAAAGGTTGTACCCAAGTACTGATATCTCAAGGTTTGGTGACTTAACTCCAGGACTGAATGGGTATTTACCACCACAGTATCAGTTTCTGTCTCAAATTATTCAGTGTTTCTTGGTGTGTTGTTCAAAGAACTAATTTAGCTCAATGTTACAGTCCTCACTTCTTTCCTTTGATTCCAGTTTTAATTTGCCGGGCACGCTCACTGCCTTTTCCCACCTGACAGAGATGACAATGAAAGCACCTTGGTCAAAATAAGAATCAAAGCTCGCTCTGGCTCACAGCCTGATGTCTCACTGTTTATAGCTCCTCTGAGGACTGAGCGACCAGAAATCAGAGCAAGACTCGACTCGCCGAGTTGGAATGACAGCAGAGCAGAGAGACGTATCAGTTCTGAGACACCGGAGCATCATCCACAGTGACACATGGAGAGAGGATGATGGGAGCTCACGCTGTGGCAGCTGGCTGATGATAAGCAGAGGAGATCATACATCAGAGAGCGCCGAGCAGGCAGGAGAGGTAGCTGGCTGAATAAAGGTGGTGTCACTCCGGAAATAGTGTTTACTGTTTGTCCAGGGCTGAGGAGAGATGTTACAGAACACAGACATCTTAAATATATATCACCGATTATATAAAGACATCTTGTATCTGTCTACGTTAGATACTGAGTGTCTCAGAGGCTGAAAGAAAGAAGAAACCTTAATTGGAGTAATTATCATTGTCTCACACTTTCTACTTACAGAGATGTCTCTGATATATAAGTGCAAAAATACATATCTGACACTGTAATTTGTAGACGCTTGATACTTTAGATTTCAGATACTGGACACATATCAGTCCAATAACTACATTTGTGATCATGACAGTTTTTTAATCATTACTTAATTGTGCAGATAAGTTAACTTTATCCAACTAAAACAACCCAGAAGAGTTGCTTTTATTGACTTAATAACAAGTCTACGCATTCTGATGTAGTAATTTAAGTCATGTGATCCACCAGTAAAAATGGCATCACCAGTGTGGTTGTTCTTATCTGTTTCAGTGGAGGATGACATGACTGCAGCGTAAAAACATGAGCCCCACATAGAGGACGTATTTAAAGTTATTGTCATGGCGACAACATTAGCATCTCCCAAACGATTTACTGCAGATGACCCTAAAGCTAAAATAACTGACATAATTAAATTATCACTATATACCCACCAAACTAAAGAAAAGAAACACAAGAAGCTGCATTCAAGAGACATCCACCAAATTGAAGAAAACAGTCAAAAGCAGCTGAATAAAACAGACATCCACAAAGCTGTTATAAATTTCCTGTTTTTTCCTTTGTGTTGAAACCCCTTTAAGTAGGTTTTGTTCAGGCACCTGTTTGGACAGCCCGGGGTCCTTAGGGTTTCACCCGTTTTTGTTCAGGCATTGATGCGGACAGTTTTGGGGTCCTAAAGCTTATAGCGGTAGCGGAGATTACCGCGAAATGCCGCGAACAAATACGAAGTTGATTTTCAAGTTGATTGTTGTGCTTTCCTGAAGAAGTGAGTATTGTTAACTCAATGTATATGTGAAATGAGTGTGTGTTTTTAACAGAGTATGTCTCCTGATTAGCATAAAGTTCGTTTATATTTACCAAAGTTAGCATACTTGTTATATTGCGTTACTTAAGCTAACCAGCGAAGCTAATATTGTGTTTATGTCTGTTAAATAGTGTTTTAAGACAGAAGTCATTCTCCAGTAAAAGCTGTGTGGCAGCCACATCCCCCAGAAAACAGACACATAAAGTAATAAATCTAAACATGGTGCTTATGTAATTTTCTAAATAAATTAAAAATGCATACAGAATTTTTTTGACTGAACTCGAAATGAAAATGTTAGCTTTAATCTTGGCTTCACCCATGAGTTGGCTGATAAGAAAACCATTGCTACAGATTGTGGCTAGGACCCTATATGTACTGTTGATGAAGTTAGGTGCTGTTCTGAGCATTATTTGTGGCTATAGAGTGGTGTTTTGGTTTAGCGCGTGGCTCTCTGTATTGCTATCGTGTGGTTGTTACTGAAGTTGGTATAACTAGAGAAGCAAGCAGTCAGCAACATTTATCTCTCGACGGGGTGTCTTAACTCGGCGTTACAGTGTGTTTGACCCTGAATTAATTTTACGTGGGAATATCCCTTTTAAAGGAGAACAAATCTGGATAAGGGGGAGAAATTTTCAGTTTCAGCACAAACACTCAAGCTAGAAACCAAAGGCCCTTAGGGTCTTTGTAGTTAAAGGTTCAAAGGTGTTTTAATCCTGTATTTAGCACTGTTCTCATAGAAAAAAAATCATCTTCCTGAGGTGCTACTGCAGCTTTCTCAAATTTGTGTCAGAGTTTTTGTTCCAAACCTGACACAGTGTTTTATTTTTTATTTTCATAACAGTCACCTGCAGGTGTTACAGTTTTCACAGACTGAACCTCTCATTTTGCTGCAAAAGTTGTCAACTTTGTCAGCTTCTTTCAGTTCTCACAGTCTCCCTCGTCGGGAACATCCAGCTTCACTCTGAGTCGAGAACCCGTGAGAGTGAAATTCCTTAAATCCGGAAACTTGTTAACATCGTGCAGCGAGAAAACTCCCCTCAACTCTTCACCTCAGCCGACTCCTTTTTTTCTGTCTCATGGCGGGAAAGGAGAGAAGCACAGTGTAGAGTTATCAAAGCAGTTATGTCTCACAGAAAGTATGAAAAGGTTTGATAAGCTTTCTTCTCATTAAAACTCTTCAACCCTTTCTTCTTTTTTCACTGATGGCTAAATTAACTTAAAGCAGAGACCCGGCGGCTTTTATTTGCCCGCTGACCTTCATTAGCTGAATAAATGTCTGCACGGACTGAAGGTTCGACTGTATAAAATCATAAAACCTGCATCCATGGACCAAAAGTACATTTATTTTTTATTTTTGCATATTTTAATTTGCACACTGACGCACTCGGATGCAGCCAAGTTAATTGAAATCCAGCAAATAAATAGTTAATAATATGAAAGTATATTCCTGCATATCTGTAATGTGCTGCTTAGAAAACTTCAAAAGATTTCATGAAGGTTATTTATTTAAGTAAGTAATTGATATTTTTGACGAAGACCAATTTTCTATAAGTTGTTACAAAATATTCCAAAGGTCAATCAGTCAGAAACTCAGACTAGGTTTAAAAAAGTTGAGAAATTTCTTTGAACACTCTGCCCTTTACAAACTCTGAGCTCATTTCACCCCCGAGGAGCTCAGTATGAAGATATTTAATGAGGAGAAGACGAGTTAAAAGGTAACTGGAGACACATCTTTAAAGGTGTAATTGCATTTTTTTATGTATTTCAAATAAACACATAAAGCTTTTGCTCTAATGAACCAGACATGAAGACAGATTGGTAGCTCAGGGCGATGCATCCTCAAAGTTATAGAGTCTGCACCTACCTCCACCAGTGTAGCATCTCTTAACTCTGTTATCCCAGAACCAACCCCACTCCATGCTGGCTGTCATCTGCCACCACACCTAAATATTAGATTTTGCATGTAATATTGAGCACTCCGCCTCTATCCTGAGAGTCTCTGCCCTTCCACTTGCAAACATAGAATCCTAAGGCAGGGAGAGCAGCAGTAAAAACCACAGAGCAGAGAGGACATCAGTGGCGGTTACTTAGTGTTGGACGGTATGAACAAAATCTTCTATCACAGTATGAGTAATTTCATATCACGTTAATGATCTATATCACGGTGTGTTTTTCTCCTTGTAAATTCAATTAATGGCTTATAAATAACCACACTGTCGCATTTGTTCATTTTCCTTTTATTTTTAAACTCAGATTTGTGTACAAATGCAAACAAAATGTCAGACCAGTCTGGCGATTTTTTTATCATATGGCGTACCTTTGGCGAAAGACTCTGCCAAGCTCTTTTGTATGAGAGGAGCTGCTGCAGCTGCTGTAGCTCAGGAGGTAGAGCAGTCGTCCAACAACTGGAAGGTTGGTGGTTCATTTCCCCCTATCCCGAGTCTGTCTGGTGTGTCCTTGGGCAAGACACTTAACCCCCCTTGCTCCCAGTGTGTGTCCTCCACTGGTATTTGATTGTTAGTGTTGTGTGATGGTGGTCGGAGAGGCCGTAGGCGCAAACTGCCAGCCACGGTTTCGTCAGTCTGCCCCAGGACAACTGTGACTACTGAGGTAGTGTACCACCACCAGGGTGTGACTGTGAGCGAATGAATGATGTATCCAATGTAAAGCGCTTTGAGGGTCTCTGATAAAGCGCTATATGAAATCTGATGCATTATTATTATTATTGGCAATGCATCTGATGCCAGTAAAATCAGACAGAAGGTGCTGGAGCGGAGGGTTGAAGCAGAACAGGTAGGGTAGGCAGGTTACAGCAGTGTAACAAGTTGGATGCATTGAAGGTGACTGGCTGAGCTGTCAGCTAATATTGGCTGGCTCTATGATCAGATAATATATTGGGGGATTAGTTTAGGACTAACACGATGTTTCAATAAAACATACCTAACAGAATTTAATTAGAAAGAGTCTGTCTTGAATTTGCTTCATTTGAGTGCCTTTCTTAATTTTCTCTCGTCTTTGCCTGTGTTCATCCAGCCTCTGCCTTATATCTAAAGAAACCACATTTAAATACACCCTCAAGGACCTCAAGTTTTATAAGTAAACATTCATCAAAATTGCAATTTATGGGCAGCAAATAAATGCAAGCACAACACTGGTTAATTTCGGGATATTCTAACACTGAAAACATGAAAACTAACACAAACATTATCCTGCAAAAACACATTTTTTCAATGAAGTAGTCGCCCCCTCTGAAGCAGGAGGAACAAGAATATATTAACTAAAGATTTAATGACAGAAGTTTAATTCCAATATGACGCATAAACAACACAGAGCAACGAAAGAGCCAAGACCATCAGCACACTCTGAGTCATTTGTATTGATCCATAAACCTATCAGAGGCTGCAGATAATAATATCATGGCCATCTTGAGCTATAGTGCAATAAAGATCTTACATTTACCTCTAACAGTTCACAGCAGACTGATGGCGCTCCTGCTGACCAGAGGAGGGCGGCCTGATGGGAGTTCATGCCCCCCATCAGCTCCTCATTGGCCTCTGGGTGACTGCACGGAGCTGCAGGCAGGGATGCAAAGAAAGAAAAAAAAAGGTAATAAATTGGTAAACATCATTTACTATATACACACACCTGCACATGAAGTGCATATGATCAAATAACATCCCATATGGCATCAACAGGCGATCACTGACAGACCTGTAATTGAGCCCACGCTCACACATGTAATATCACTCTATATATCACAGCCATCTTCATCACACACACGCACACAAACATCTCACTGCTATGATTGAAAACCTTATTCTGTACTGCGCTCGCTCTGACCCTCGACCCCGCCCGCTCCTGTGAAAGCTATGAGCCGATCTAGCGTTGACTGAAGTCTCATGCAGCTGATTGGCTGCTGTGACCTGAGATGTACCACAGATGTACATGAATGATCCGTCTCTAATTATGTCACAGCAGAGGGGGAAAAAAAGGAATATGTGATTTAAAGGAGGCAGCAGGGGGAATAAAAATGAGCTACCGCCGTGTGCAGATGTTGGATGGAGGCTGCAGGGACTGGCTCCAGCTCTCTGATGTTGGTTGATGAGGTCTGGCTCACAGTCCCTGTTCCAGTTCATCCCACAGGTGTTATACTGGTCTAAGGGTCTATGAGAAAATGATTTCTTTATAGCTTTTTATTACAGCGGTATCATCAAATTAATCCAACACTGCACAGCTCTCTTGTTCCATGTGACAGATTTCATCTAAAGCTCCATTTCTCCTGCTGGGTCAGGGACTGCTCCCTTAGATCCTCCTCCACCAGATCCACTGCTTGATACGTTCTTCAAGATCACCATGTTGTTGTTCCTCTTGAAATTGATATGGTGGCTTTGCTCTTGTTTTTAGTTCTTGCTGCTATGACGGTTGTTTCTGTCTTTGTTGTGACCAGATTGTTGTTTTTTTGAATCCATGTATTTTTTATTTTAATACTGTTTTGGTTCTTCATTTATAAATCCATCTAAAAATTAGTACATTTTTCGTTTTGATATTGTTGGTGTGGAAGTTTGTTGTTCTTTCTATGGTGATAGTTGTTTTATTTGTTGTTTTTTGTTTTTATTAATTATTGTAGTTTTTGTTATTTTTGCAATTTGGTTCATGTTTTTTTTTTTCATCATTGAGGTTTTTTTTTTTTATTTTTCTGTTTATTGTCAAGGTTTTTGTTACTGTTGCACTTTGTTGCTGTAAATGTTGTAATGATTGTTTTGTTTGTTTGTTTCTTGTTTGTTTTTTTATTTCCATTATTGTAGATTTTTTACATTTTTTTCTGTTTATTGTCACAGTGTCTTTGTTATTTCTTTCTTCTTTTTTTTTGTCAAAGTTTCATTATTGTTGCAGCTGTCATTAGTTATTTTTAGGGTTTTTGTTATTGTTGCTGTTTGTTGCTAAAATCATTTTGTTGTTTTTGTTTTTTGTAACTTTTGCAACTGTTACACTTTGCAGCTGTGAATATTGTTTGTTATTTTGTTGTTTTTCATTGTTTATCGGTGTGTTATTTATTCTGTTGCAGTTTTTGCTTTTGTTATGAATTCTGTTTGTTATCTATTGAAGTTCCTGTTTCCATTGCAGTTTTTTACTGTTATTTTTGTAGTTGTTAATCTTGCTTTTGTTTTTCATTTATTGCTGTAGGTTTGTTATTGTTCCAGTTTCTTTTTGTTTGTTTCTCCCACTGATTCATGTTATGGTTATTTTTGTTTTTCTCTTCATTTATGTTGCTTTGTTGTTAAAAACAGACCATCACTGGTAATAATTTAACACATACGTTCCCACGCATATAAAGATTTAAATTCTTATATATTTAAGCTTCTCTCTGTTACTGGGTCTGTTCAGAAGAGAGTGTTTCTGCAGTCTTGTCTGTTGCCGTGAACCACAAAGCTGTCTGCATTGTTGCTCAACACTTAAGAGCGAAACACTCACAGACAACAATAAAAAAATATGTCCTCAGCAGAAAAAGACTTTCTAAACTACAAGAGTTGTTCGGTTTTATATCCATCATAGAGCAGCAGTGAAACTTTTTTACAGCTCAAGATTTCCTGCTTGACTTTGTTTTTATGGAGTTATCAAAGCATCTCTTGACTCGCGTGGAGAGTACTTATCATTCCTGAGAACTTTTCCCCGTTTTCTCTCAATAACAGAGAAGTATCAAGAGGCATGAGAGGGTGCTTTTAATTTCAAAGAGCCGCTCTCTGGTTTTATTTGGACTTTGAGAAAAGTTCTTAAGAAAAATAAGATGCCAAGTGAAATCTGACTTTAATGAGGCTGTGCTACGCAGCTGTAAGGAACCAAATTATTTCACATTTTCATTTCCATATAAACTTGTCTTGTTTTACATTCTCCTTTCCAGCTCATATAAAACCTCTGTAATCATCTTTATCACCTGGTTGAGTATTCAGTTTTTCATTTTTTTATTTTATATCTCCTGCAGAAAATGATTTTTCTTCTTCTGTTTATTCCTCTGATCTTGTTATGTTTGATTTATGTCCCCACTCACTCTGTTGTGCTATCTAAAAAGGAAAAGCTGCAGAACAATGCATGAATGGATGATAAATAAGAGCAGCAGATGCTCCAACACTTGTACTCCAGAGTTCCCTCCACCAGAGGGCACCAGATGAAGACATAATCTTGCAGAGAGATGATAAGCGATAGGAAGGCTCTCCTCCGTCCACCTGTCTGAATGAGTGACTCTGTGCTTCAGCCTGAGGTAATAAATCACATTACAGAGACCAGCAGTGTAATTACTGTCCAGCTGCAGCTGTCAGGTCTCTTTTTTTAACCCTGCTGTGACCTGTGACATGAAGCAAACAGAGAGGACAGAAATTCAATGAGCAGAAAGATCCGGACGATGAAGCAAGAATAAGACGGGAAGTGATCCAGATAATGAGAGCTGGAATTACTGCTTGCTCTGTCTCATTTATGAGTGTGTGTGCTTGTTTGTGTGTATATGTGTGGGTGTGTTTAGGTGAGGCTTTTGCTGATGACAGCCAGTAGGAGATGCAGCTCCCCCTCTGAGCCGACACAATCGCAGAGAGGAGAGAGGAGACGAGCAGCAGGGAGGCTGGGAGAGGAGGTGAAAATGTGACTTTACCTTGTGTGTGTGTGTGTGTGTGTGTGTGTGTGTGTGTGTGTGTGTGTGTGTGTGTGTGTGTGAAAACTGTATGTCAGTCATTGTGCAGTTAAGTTTAAGTTATAAAGGTGATTTAGGCGCCTCCACTGCTCGTTTAAAATCAGTCTCAGTAATGAGTTAATTAAGTAAAGGGGAGTTAAATGGATAAATTCTAATGAAAATGAAGATTATAAATGTTAAATCCCTCTCAGGTCACTCTGACTCTGGTTGCTCCTCTTTAATAATGAGTGCTCAACCTAGAGCGCCATTAATTTCACCAAAACCGCATTATACTCCACCAGCCAGTAGGTGGCAGCAAAGGATTTCCTCTCCTCAAAGAACTGACTTTCTTTAATTGAGACATGGAGAGTTATGCATGCAGTGTTGGTGAACCAACAGGGAAGATAGTTTGAGGCTAACATCACTGGAAGAAAATATCAGTCTTTTTTTTGTTTGTGCTTTTAAAAAAACAGTAACATGAAATCTGAATCTGGTTTTTTCAACTACTTTCAACAAGAACTCCTAATATTGCCTTTACAGGTACAGCAAAATATGTTGTATAGGAGGAGATCTTTGCAGGAGAAGCTGAGAGTTAAAGAGCTAAAATCAACAGATGGGGGGCTAACACTTGTTTGTTTTTTGAGAAGCTGGATCACTAAGAAGGGTCCAGATTTGCAGGTCTTGTGACTTGGACGAATTTGTTGACAGAGACAGTTTTGTTGTTTTCCTAGCCTAACCCTAATGAACAGGGATGTTAGCGTGATGACAGACTCTGAGATCCTGTGTTTTGTTTTTAACCCTAACCGTTTATCCTCTTACTTCTCTTATCCTGTCAGACAGTTTTCAAAGGTGCTTCTTCTGTTTCACATGCAGTCTCTTAAATACCAAGAGTCTCTTTAAAGGAAAAGTCCGGCCAAATAGATGAGAAGTTTCTCTAAATACACCTGACGCTGAGGGGTGGAGGAGCAGATGCCACATGACTTAAATACATTAGCTGATTCAGACCTAAGAAACTGCATTAGCAGAGGAAACCTGTAACTAATTAGGAGTCATGTTTTCTTTCTCATCAGCTCACCTGAGTAATTGCTATCTGAGGGAGCAATAACGTTGGTAAAAATAGATCTGTCTGGGGGGAAAAGACGAGCCTTTGTAAGGTTAAACAAATTTCCAGGTCATGAGGATGTTTGTGGAAAAGTAGACAGAGGTGAACAGTAAAATTGCTTCCTACAATATCAGTCTGGAAACACAACCCAAGCTGTAATTTTCCTTTTAACCTCTCTGTGACTCTCCTCTACCTGTCTGAGTGTCTTTCTCGCTGTTGGTGGTTTATGAGGCAGCTGAGTCATAACGGATTCCTGGGTCACAGCAGGGGACAAAAACAGAAAATAAGTCTGAACTAAGACACAGAAACTGCACAATTACTGAATCTATGGACTGACAACTGTTTCTAAAACTTGGTTTAGAAGTATAGAGGTAAATGTCAAAACTTTTAGGGGTGTTTTCTTTTCTCGCATTCAAGGCCACGAAATAATAAAGACTCACAGATTACCGAGTCAGTCCCAAAGAAGTAAGAATGTGCATTGAGGGGTGATTATTATAAACAAGGACATCAACACAAAGCACAAGAGTCAGTGATAAATGATCTGCTGTACTTTCATAAAAGTACCCCTGTTAAATGACAACTAAAAAGGACCCAGGATGGAGCCATGAGGTACTCCACTGTAAGAAAATAAAGCAACTGTAGCATAGACTGTTGTCTGCTTATCAAAACCAACCAAAAAAGACAAAAAGATGAGTCAAATATGATCAGAACTCCAGGTCAAATAAGGTCTAAAGATTTTGGAAAGGTGCATAAGATGATGGAGATTCCTGATTAATGTCCTCTGTTTCGTCACTTTTAAAGCCAGTGATGTTTTTTTTTCCAACATGTCTTTCTCTCAGCTTATTGTGTCTCCCTCGTGGTTTCTGTGCTGTTTTCTTCCCTCCCAATCTTATCTTCTCAGGTACTGACTTGTCAGCCTAACCCCAAATCTAAAGTTTTGTGCACTCCAAATAAATTGAAGACTCTGTGAACTCTCAGAATTGATTTGGTGGAGGGTTGACCAATCAAAATCAAGCATCTAACACAGGTAAAAGGTAGTTTTTTATAACTCAGTTTTACTCTCAGCACTTGGCATACCTTTAATTTATTAAAACTTCATTAAATTGAATTTCTCTTCAGTGATCAATAAAGTTCTTCTTCTTTGACTTCGACTTCAACTTGTACTTCTTCAACTTCTACTTCTTCAACTTAGACTTCTACTCTTTGACTTCGACTTCTATTTCTTCCACCTCTACTTCTTTAACTTCGACTTCTTTGACTTCTACTTCCTTGATTTCCACTTCTTTGACTTGTACTTCCTTGACTTCGACTTCTTCTACTTAGACTTCAACTTCCTCCTTCTCCTCTTCTTCTACTTAAATGAACGTTATGGCTTTCTTTTAATTTGAGCTAGAATTCAAAGAACTCTGAAGTAACAGTTCTGTTATGTAACTTTAGATATAAGGCGTAATATCTTTCAGTTCCCTGAAGACGAGTTCTATTATTTAATTTCTACATCTGTGCATTGGTTTTATGTTGTCAGAGTTTCGTTTTTGTGTTATTGATTATTTGTGACATCTTCGTGTTTTTAAAGATGCTGTTAGATTTAACAACTCAGATGACATTTTCTTTTTTTAAATGTAATCCTCACTAGAGAAAACTTAAATTATGTGTCTGGTGCAGCGATTTAATCTTAAAAGGTCTGCTGTTACTGACACACACACACACACACTAAAACACACACACACTCACACAGTCTTTAACACAAATCAATAAAAGTCCATTTATGCCTGAGTTAATACAGACATGCACACAAACAATCACAGAAGTAACACACCTGCACACAGACACACACTCTCTCTCTCTCTCTCTCTCTCTCTCTCTCTCTCTCTCTCTCTCTCTCTCGCCCCCTGCAGATAACGTTATAATGCACCCGGCTCTGACTTTATTACTGCAGAATGAGATCAGATTAAAAGGACTGTACTGTCTCCTCTCTTTAAGGTTCTCCAGGTCCTGATATCAGTCTGCAGATTTCAGACCTCGGCTCTGGAGAAACTGACAGCAGCTTCTGTCATAATGGATGCCCTGCAGCCACAGACACACTTCCCTCCTCCTGTGTTTTTTAAAGGCTCAGTGGGTGTCAGAACTTAAAGTTAGTAAGAGGCCCCAGCAGGAACCCCGCCGTGTGATTGGACAAATGCAGCTCTCAGTGGGCTGTAATTGGTCCGTGCTTTAGAGTCCTTTCTCAAAGTTGTACAAATTCAACCCATTTGAACACATTTTTAATTAAGTTGTGGCAAATTGATCTTTTGCAGGGAGACTTTTACCATATTCAGCAATGTGCCATTTCTATGCAGACGTGTAGCTCTTTCTTTGCTATTGCACCCTGCCGATTAAGACTGGACAACTGAAGTACATGTAAATACCTTAGTCCGACTATAATCAGAGTTTGAGAACTCTGATTAAGACACCCTGATAACGCGACTGGAATTCGATTTTCTCTACCATGTAACCGGAGTAGTCAGAGTATAATTGGACAATGCAACACCAGAGAAGAGGAGTACCGTGCATCTCATCTGCAGAAAAAGTAGTGAGTACATCATGTACGACAAAAGCAACGCTGTACAATGCTCCATCTTCTTGCTTGAAAATGCCCAGCAGCAGTTGTAGACACTTCTGACAGCGCCACTGAAAAGACCCATATCACCCCCTAGTTTTGGGGGAGTAGGACACGTTCACATCAATAATTCAATTTTCTCAGCTGCATGTATACACGAACAAGGAGACAAGTCCGATTCAGAGAAAAAAACGAGTTATAAGCTTAGTCGGATAAAGCTGTGCATGTAAACTTCAAAAACTACTCTCAGGAGCTTTAACCAGATCGAAATATACATCTAAATTTACGTGAGTATAAAAATCTTAACACTTTTAATACAGCGATAGAAAGAAAAAGCATGTCTAAAGGATGACCAAAATATTTCCTTACATTCACAGATGCTGCTTTCTAAAGCACTCATCAGTTTTGCCAGCAGGGGGCAGGTGTCACCATATGTCTCACCATGTGGACAGCAGCACCCTGGACCACCCTGACCTTCTGATTTAGAGGTGTCTGACTCTCCCTCTGAGCCACACAGGTAACACTTTTACTCTGTTTTTGTCTTTTAGTCTACGTTGCGCAAAAATAAGTGGACAACACGGTTTACAAGACATCAAATATAATTAATAATAAAGTGAGATGACTCAAGATTAACTCATGGAAAAGTGACTGAATTTAAAATGATGTTTTGCAATGAGAGAGTCGACTGTAGGTGAGCACATCAGTATGAAGACTGTCTGCTGCCAGCTAGTGGCTGCACAGAGACACTACACTTTATTTATTCAGTTTATTTCCTTTTACCTGCAGTCTTTTTATTGATTGTGCCTTCATGGATGAAAAAGTGAACACACAAGGAGAGAAACAAGTGTTTAAAAAAAAGTATGCATGTACTTTTTTGGCGTTTGCATCAGTTGATAGATAAACAGAGGAGACAGGAGTGCATGTAAGTTCATCTTCACTTGATCAACACTGCACACGCTCATACGCAGAGACTGAGGGTCCAGCCTGCAGTCCTGCAGCCTGACACAGATGTGCCTGAGCTGAAAGGCCGGAGGCTAAAAAACATTCAGACACTCACTCTCTCATCTGGCTGAGCAGGAGGCCCCCAAAATGGGTCAGAGGCATCAGAGACTTTAACACACACTATCTCAAACTCACACACACACACTAACACATACATACACAGCCATGTTTTACTATTAATGAGTCAAATTTCCTCTCCCGAAATATCAACATCGTGCGTAACTCTCATTTAAATGCATCAAATGAAACCGCAGTCTCTTAAATTTAAGGGATTTCATAATTCTCACGTCATTTACACTCAAAGTGACTCTTAAATCAGCCTCCATGAGGTTAGAAGCTTTGTTAGTCTTTGTTTATGTGTGTGAGCGAGCATGTGAATAGATCATGGTGATTTGTCTCTCTGCGTTTGTGCATTTCCTTCAATAACTAAGGGTTTAAGTGTGTGTATCTGTGTGTGTATTTGGGTGTGAGGGGTAAATATAGTCAGGAGTCAGCTCAGCGCTCCAGATCCCTCCAGGCCTCGGCAGTGTCTGCAGACTCAACTTCACTTCCAGCCTTTATTTCCTCGCAGGCAGCAACAGTGAGGATGTAAAAGCGTTTGACAGATTTCCTATTTGGGGGGAAAATTCAATATTTCCTCTAAGATACGCAAAAACATCAACATCTGTTCATCCCTGATTTATGAAATATTAGAGAAGGCAGGATGTGAAGAAATTGAGCTTTTTGACTGATTTAAACTTCTAAAGGCTGTATGAAACAGTCACACAGCTAACTAACTGAGGTGACAGATGATAGATTTATGAGGCATTCAGGGTGGGGTTTGTAAAAATAAGAGTAAAGCTAAAGTAAATAACTAGTTTTTGAAGAAAGATCTGTATATCTGTATGACTTCGGTTCAGTTTTGTTCGTTTCCCATCCTGTGACCCCCGTCCTTCAGGTTTGTTTCTGGTAAAGTGAACTTGAAAGTCCTGGGTCTTACAACTGGGGTTCACTGCAGGAGTTAGAATCACCATGATCTTCCAAAAGCAGATCAACCTGAACAAATAAGTCTTGAATAGTAGCACCTTAGTGTCACAGGTTTAAATCCCACTATACTGATCAACTCATGAAGCTATGGCACTGATGTCCAAATAATGCTTTTACACCAAGACGGTCTAGTGTAAAGGAGTTAAACCTGAACAAATAAATGCACCAAAGCCCGGTGGTGAGATGATGGCCTCATGGTACGCAGGATTTGGATTCAGATCCCAGCACGGGGCTTTCCTTGTACAGCTTTTGAATCGCCACAATGTGAAATAAAAGTTCAAACTAAATGACAGAGCCTTGCAAAGTTGTACCAAAGTGTGTGGACAGAAATGCTTTCCTCACACTGTAGATTGAGCTGAGCTTACCGTATTTTTCGGGCCATGAGGCGCACCAGAATATAAGGCGCAGTATGAATTATCGTGTCTATGTTCACACATAAGGCGCATTAAGCAAAACAACACTACGGTAAAATAGAAATTGATTTAACTCAGTTGTAACAACAAATACCAGTACAAAAATACACTCACTTATTGATTCATTCCTATTCCGCAAATCCATTGAATTTTACCGTACCGTAATGCTTCGATTATCCATTCAGCGGAGCAGCTTCATTGCTAACCAAAGTCGTACTTACACATTTCGGTAGATTTTTGAGTGCATTGTACCACATGAAATTGGTCAGTAAGCACAACAAGTAATAATCCATAAGGGGTGCTGGATTATAAAGTGCACTGTTGATTTTTGAGAATATTTAAGGATTTTAAGTGCGCTTTATAGTCCGCAAAATACGGTAACTTAGGCGGACAAAATCAAACAGTGAAATAAAGAGACCTACAAAAGCAAGCACTGCCAGACTCTTAATGGAAAGGGTCCGGGTTCAAATCCTTGAAATAGGAAAGAAACACTGTCCTCACACTGTAGTTTCAGCTGTAATTTTTTAACTTAAGTGATCAAAAGCAAACTTCAGGACGATGAGAGGGGTCAAGGAGGTTAGGAGGAAGTCCACACTAGGCTTCCACTCAGAAAATGTAAGAAGGGTTAACTGAGTTCAGCGCATGTGTCAACACGGCTAATAAAATCTCTCGGGTAAAGGATGTACTGTCACTTCTTATGTAATTGCTAACACATTTTAGCCTCTGGTCTGATCACCACCATGTTCTACTTCAAGATTTTGCGAGCTCTTGGACAGAAGCGGCCTAAGGCGAGTGCAAACACAAACACACACAAACTCAAAGTTCAGATTGAACCAAAGCTCTTACAGCGGTATATGAAGCGTGCACGCTTTAACCACGTTTGGGTCCTTTATTTGCAGCATCTCTCAATGTTTACCTTATTGAACCAGCTAATGTGCGGCTTATTTATCAGCGAGGAGCCCAAGTTCTCTGATTAAATACTCCACGGTGGGAATAATTTGAGAGAGTCCTTGCTGTTGTTTCTGCAGACTTTCCCTGCTGTGATAAATTGCATGGAAGTTGGACGGATTAAGAGAAAGAGAAAAGCTTGAGCAAAGACATAATGCCTCCCAGAAATCCTCCTCGTCCTCTGCAGAGGGCTAATTTCCCTCTCCAGTTTAAATCCACTCTCCCCCTGTGTCTTTGTCCGTCTCTGTATCTCTCTATTATTCTGTCCCCTACCGACGATCTCTTTGTTTTCCCACTCGTCCTCCTCTATCTTTCTCTGCTGCTCATAATGTCAATGATAAATCGTGTTGACATCTTGTTCATGATGTTTGTTCCTGTGACGAAACTGATCTCTCGCTTGGTTTCCCTCAGATGAACCGCCTTGAAAACGGCTCGGCTCATTGAAAAGAGGAATTGGTTTCTTATAACTCTTGCAGAGAAGAGGTAAAAGCATTTCAGCACATTAAAAATGGAACTGATGCTTTTAAAAATGATGTTTTAATCCCGATTCTGCTCAACACAAGTAACTGCAGTTTCGATTTTGTGTATTGAACAGACTTTTTTCAGACGTTTACAAACTCAGATTAAAATGTCCAGCGGCTGTCCTGCCAACTAATCTTGGAGAATGAAACCTCCACCTCCTCCCCGCCTCTCCTTTTCTCCCCCTCTCTTTTGGCAGCCGCTCTGCAGTCAACTCTTATTGTTCTCCTTGTCCTTTCCCACCTCTCTCCCCCCTCTCTCTATTGTGCATCTGTGCACCAATTATGATGGTTCCTGTACAGTATTGATGGCAAGAATCAACGCACATGCTGACACAGGCTGTTCAAGGACAGCTGGCCTCACACGCTGAATAAACACAGGTTACATGTCAGTGTTTCCATACATTAGACCTTCAGTAAATAGAGGAAACAAGTCTTTGATGGCGCCCTGTGGGGATTGAGGTGAAGTCATATTGACCTTCTCTAACTGCTGCTGGTCACCAGTAGAGGTCGACAAAGGTTACACAAAGTATGGAAGCTGAAAGTCCTGAATGGTTGCTGTTTTCTATGGTGGCCCTGAAGTCCAAAAAACACAAGGACAAATAAGAAACATAAAACACAACAACTTTTAAAACAACTTTTCAAATCCCGCTTGAAAACATACTTATTTATGCTGGTTTTTAATACCCCAAAAACATGGTGACACTTTATTGAATTGTATTTTATTCTTTTTTTATTGTTTTTATTTATTCATTTTTATTTTCTATGTATTGTAAAGCACTTTGGTTCACCGACAGGGTTGTTGTAAAGGGCTGTATAAATAAAGAACATTTACATTTATTTACAAAATTATAAAAGAAGAACAAATGATCCACCGAAACAACATTTAAGAAAAGCAACTAAACACAACGACAAGTGACTGAACCCAACAAAAAAAAATCCCAAACACAACAACAGTCTTTCAAATACAACAACAAATTACAAAATCACTGAATGCAAAAACAAAATTACCCAAAATCAGAAAAACAATAACAAATCACAGAAAATAATAATGATCAACCAAAAACCACAACAATTTTCAAAATAAGACAAATTACAAAACATAACAATGAGCAACTAAACACCACAAAAATTTTCAAAATACAATGACGAGTCACAAAACACGAGAACAAAATACAAACCAAAATAATAAATCTCTCATGAACCAATCATTCCCCCACAATGACAACAAAATACATCAACATCTTAGAAAACACAACAAACTGTCATGTTTGTTAAGGTTCCTTTATTTTGGCACATCCATGTTCTGTTTCATGTCTTTCCTGTTTTATTTTGGTAGTCCACTAACTCTTGTTTCCATCTTGTAAATTTGTCTGCTCTGCCCTGCCCCCGCCCTGTTACACCTGCTGCCTGTTTATGTTTCCCCACCTGTTTCCCATCACCCTCATTACCTCTTGTATTTAACCTCATGTGTCTCACCGTCTTGTCACTACTTTGTAGCATTTTATAGTCACGTTCAGGCATTATTCATAATCTTAGTCAAGCCGTGTATTACCTTAGCCTGCCTTATTTCGGGACCTTGACTTTTTGCCTTGTGTTTTTGGATCCCTCTGCCTGACCTGACTGCCATTTAGTGGACTAACTGATCTGATTGTTATTGTATTTTCCATCAGAACAATGCCCATTTAAATAAACCTAGTATTATATATTTTACATACACTGCCCCACAGCCCTGCTCTGTACCTCTGCTCTCCTCCTCCTTTTTTGTGTGTTCCTGTCTGTTTTCGTTTCCCGGCTGTCCTCTGAAGATGCTGACCTTCCTGTTAAGACTGTCCAAGCAGCAAATTCACTTTTTTCTTCTTCACTCAACCTGCCTATCATCACTTCCTCTCTTCGTCATCCCCCTTTCATGTAACTTAGTCCAGTTCACTGTTTTTGCCCGTTTTTTAAAAAAAACATGCAAGAGGAGGATGCTATGAGGTATTTTGTTGGTTTATTATACTAGTATGAATATGAGACTCTGTACATATTAAAGCAACATATGCTGTCATTGACCTGGATCATTAAGGAGGATCTCAAATGGGGTTAATGCCAATATATGAATACACTGTGGGTTTCTACATTTGCGTTGGGGAAAGTTTGTTTACTGCGGTATATATCTCGCTTCATAAGCTGCAGTTCTGGAGGTCTTCAGGGGGGACGGCTTCAGTCATCCTTTAAAAAGTCATTTCCACTTCAAAGAGGGTAAACATGTTGAGTTTCCTTTTGCTAAAAGTTTGCGGGCGTCTTCTTCTTCTTCACAGTTATTCGTTAAACTTTAGCACTACAGTTACAAGTTTTTCTAACTGAATTTCTGTCCATTTCTGCATCTTTTTCCTTGTCTGTGTCCGTCAGTCATTCAGCTCCAATCTGTCTGATAAAGATCATTAATTTATCCGTTAGTATTCCACTCATGTTTTCATGAGCTGTATTTTGTTGAACATTTCCTTCCTCTGCTCATGCTGTTCTTCACTCAGTCAAACTGCTCCTCATCAGCCTCCTCCTGTCCTCGCACAGCCCCCGACTTTCTGCGTTTCATTTGATCATCTTCTTAATTTTCTGCTCCCTGCCTCCCCTCTTCCACTTCTCCTCTGTCCTCCTCCTCTTCTTTTCCTTTTTGTTTCTGAACCTCTGTCTCCTTGACTCCCCCATCATCATCTTCTCCTCCCTCTTCTTCCCTTTCCTCTCCCTAACAACATCAGCAGCTCGTTCTCTCGCTGTCAGACCTCTCCCATGATTTCATAATTCCTCCCTTGCTGCTTGTTTCCTCCTTCCTTCCCCTCTTCCCCTCCGTGTTATTCTCCTGCTGGAATTTCCCTGAAATCACTGTTGTCACAGCAACAAGATAATGACTTCCAAAGCATTCAAAACCAGCCGCACAGAAGTAAATGTGGTGGTTTTCATCCAGGTTTACAACCAGCTAGACAAGACAACAATCTCCCAATAAGTGCTGCACATTCAGAATCAGATACAGATGCTGTTTCTATCTTTGGGTATAAGAAGGAAAAATACATAAAGATTATTTCAGTTTTAATTCATAACTTCACATTGTGTTCATTTTTTGCGGTAATGTTTCAGCTACAAATCCAAATCATATATTCTGTCCAAGGTGCAAGTAGAAAGATGACAGCAGGGAACTAAATTAAATGAAATAAAAGGCATTTGTCTGAATTTGCTTTGCTGAATGAGAATAGCATTTTTCATGTGAACTCTTTTTTTCATGTTTTTGCTTTAAATCTGTCACTCCTTGAAACTGTCTGAATTCATGCAGGGTCTGAGGGTCTAGCAAGTCTAGCAAGATAAAGCATTAGCACCGCTACATGCCATTAGTTAAGCCATTTGGGAAACAGGCTCCTTACCCTGAATTTCCACCACATCTGGAACAGCTCCGATCTGGAATTTTCCGTCCACCAATTTCAGATATAATACCAGATCAGTTTGTGAGAATCGCGAGAACTCACAAGAACCCGCGGATTCACGTGCAATCCGTAACAATAAGTTGTCTCTCTAAAGACAGCCACATAACCATAGAAGCAGTAGATTGTGTCCTTCCAGAGGAGGAAATCCACTTCTAGACTTCTAGAATCAGCATCCCTTCATCCATGGTGTCATCGGGGTGAAATGCTGTCTAAAAACCTTTCAGTTGTTCGTCCCCGCCCGTTTGCATGGTGTGAAATACGATCCGCCTGAACACAGAGTGTTTTATTTTGAAAAGAAGCCAATGTTTTATTTTGTATTTGTGCACGACTTCCTTTCCAGCACGGGTTAATCGGTGCTGAATTTATCCGGCATGCTCTAGTGTCTGGAAAAAATAGAACTCTTGGGATCAGCCGCGGAGTCCGGCGATCTGCAGCAGAACGGAAAGAAGCTGGTGGAAACTGACGCATTTACTTGAATGGTTATGATCAGCTGGGATCGGTGGATACAACCTTTTCGTACCTGTTCCGGATATGGTGGAAATTGGGGTTAGTGTCAGCGTTACCACCAATATTGGAATGCAGTTTAATGTTGATTCTGGCTGACCATGTCTAAGCTCTTTAACTCTCAGCTGCTCCTGCAAAGATCTCCTCTGAAAGAGCATAAATTTCAGCCTCTTTGCTGTTTTCTCTGAACATTTTGTGAAGGGCTTTTATTATGAGTCAAGCCTCAGATATTTTGTTAAAATCAAAAATTGAAAAATGAAGAGCTAAGTCCTTGATCGACCCAGGTTTTGATACCCATAATAATACCTTGTAGAAATCTGATATAAAAGAATAAAGTAAGGGACGTTTTCTTGTACAATTCCTTTGCATAGATATTGTTATTATTAAACAGTTCACTATACTCAAGAAATGCAAGCCAGAGAGCTACCTTTTGGCCGATCTCACATGCACATCCCTTGTGCATGTTTGTGCAACATGCAGGCAATCACACTTATGCAAGCAAGAGTGCACATGCAGACTCCACATGTAAAAACAAACACAGACCATCTTGATTCTTTGGACACTGATGCAGATACTGAATCAAGTGAAAGTCTGTTACATCACATTTTGTGTTTAAGTGAATGTGTGGGTGTGTGAGTTTGTTTGTACAGATGTGTGCATACTGCTAGCTTTGACTTGCATCAGTGAGATTTTCATACAAAGGCTGAAGCTGCAGCACAAAATGGCCCAAAACTGTCAGCGACGCCTTGTTCATACACTGATTAAATCATTCATGTTAATGATTCTTCTTCCTCGTGTGTTTGTTTTCCACTCTGTGCTTTTGTAATGGCTCCATGTTCCACGGACAGAACAGCCAACTACCCCTCATTATCCCACCATCCGAAGAAAATCCCTCATTTCTCTGTTTTTGCTCACATGTGCAGATCGATGTACTGCAGGCTATTAATAGCTCTGCTCTTGTATTGGATTTCCCTGGCAGGGAGCTAAAAATAGAAGGAAGAGAGAGGAATGTGGGGGCGAGAGGGACCCCAAAGGAATAAGACAAATACAGAAGGATAAAGAAAGAGAGGGAGGAGGATCTATAAGGACTCTGCTGGAACTACTTGTTATGCAGCTTTCATTTAACCCATTTCTTGCCTGCACAGTCTTGCTGTTGGTACAGCCCTGTTTGCAGGTTGTTTGTCATCCTGTTCTCCGTACATCCCAGTGATTATTCATCCTGCTCCTCAGTCATTGATAATTTTAGGAGCAAACAACAAAATCCTTTATGGCGTTATTATGAAAACCCAAGTCAAGAGCTCCACTCGTGGCTCAGTGCCCACTTATCCCCTCCACACATTTGTGCCCAGGGAGTTTTACTTCAGTTACGCCATGATGAGGCTCTTAAAGGGCGCCTCAGGCTGGAGTAGTAGAGGTTTTTTGTGTCCACTGGGACGTTTTTACGAGCTGTGTTAAGCAGCAGTTTGTGTTCAGCACTGATTGAGCTGCTGCTGCTGCTACAAGAATCTTCATGGCCGACAGCTCCATGTTGTACATCTGAACATCAGGGTCACTGAAAGTCAGGAGGAGTGGAGAACAGCTTTGTATTAAACCCTCAAGATGGAAATAAAGGCCGAGATTCAAACTGTTGCAAATAATTGGAATTTTAGATTTATCTGTTCAATTTAGGGTGCAAAATGTGCTGAATTCAGAATCCAAGGATATTTGGCACAAAGCAGAGGAAAGCAGAACAGTTCAGGGGTCAGACCAAAACTCTTAAATCATCCGGCAAAATAATGTGATGAATGTTTGGCAAAGACGGCCTGTTCTCGAGTTCCCAAGATTTAAAATTGGATGTTCAATTCTAGGCCCAAAGTTATCAGCAAAGTAAGTTACCATGCTATTAGAGTTTAAGTCAAGAAAGGTGGACACGACAATGGATGGTCAAAAGAATATGGTGTGCAGTTGTGATTGTGATGTTTGAGATGATAATTTGACAGTATTTGAAGAGTGTTTTTCTAGCTTTCTGAGCGAAATTGCCTGTACATGATACAGACCGGCAACCAGTCCAGGGTGTACTTCGCCTCCTGATTGGCTATTGTTGTGGACACGGTCTTAATCAAGCAGAACAAGGGAAGTCAAATCCCAGAAAGTCTTGGGAAATTGTCTTCAAAATGCACCCATCCAGCTTTAATTGAGCAACTGAGCCATGTAATACACATACAACATAATGGTTGTCTCTCGGTTTAATTAACCATTTAAACAAAGTCAAAACCCTTATAGGTCAGCTGGGGCTCAGCAGTAGTGTTGGTCATCTTCCAGTTGGAAAGTTTGGCTTTGCTTTAACCCCAAATTACCACAACGATGCAAAAATTGGGTCAGCGGCAGTAACTTAGGAGGTAGAGCGGTCATCCATGAACTGAGAGGCTGGCAGGTTGATTCCCCCTATTCCTAGTCTGTTCGTTGTGTCCTTGGGCAAGACACTTAACCTACCTTGCTTCCAGTGTCTGGTGTATGATTCAAGCTAAACACTATTTTGAATGGTGGGAATAAACTTATTTTGCTGATATTCGTAGTCAAACACAACATTTTCTTCATAGAATTTATTCAGTTGGTTTTCTCTTGTATTTCAGTGTTATGTATTCAGTTAGGGTTAGGGTTAGAATTGGATTTCCTTTGAGCTGATATGCACCTTCCCCTGATCTGTCCCTTTTGTCTAATTATTGATCTCCTCTGTCTTTTAAAATAGACTTCTGCTCCTCTGAATGGATGTGAGTATTGATTTAGTGATATTTACAGATGCGTTTTAGCGGATTCTTTCCTTAAACTGTGCAGTAGAAAGCCAAGTATTTGACACCATCAGTGAGGTATTTTACAGGTACTATGTTGGATTTGGAGCAGTCGTGAAACTCAGACTGCAGCAGAGTGTGATGGCTGCATCAGTAGTTATTTTTTCCCCGATCTGAGCAGCAGCAGCAGAAGGCAATTTGACTCAGGACCAGTTGGTCTGACTCGGGAATAACCAGTTAAATAGGCCAAGTTCTCCCTCGTTATTACTATGTTTGTGATTATGAGTCATACATTACTGCATAATTTGCAGGAGGTTCCTGTTCCCTGATTTAGTCTAGACCTCTGTTATATTCATCACAGGTTTTAAGTCATCAAGTTTTTATTCAAAGGAAGTTATACTGACAAAAAAAGAAAAATGACATCAGGGCAGAAGTACAAAAAGTCTTCTGACTGGCAACTAAACCTCTGGAAGCCCGTTTACACTTACACTAGCACCGTTGGAGAGTTGACTGACGGGAAACAAATGACAATGACATTTCTTGGACTATGCCCATGTTTTATATCCTCTACATTTTACACACTTTCCAACTGTTCAAAGGAACCTGCTAACAAGCCCATAACTGTTCAAAATTTTCTTTGTGAGAGAAAAAGATGGGAAACAATTCAAAACAACACCTGATCCATCTTTAAAATAAATCATTTTCAACATTTCATAGTTCTTACAGTGTGGAAGTGACTATTTGTAAAGTTTATTTGTAAACTTTTTGTTAACCTCATATCCAAGTCCCTAAAATGAGTAACTGAAGACTGAAACACTAAGAATAAAACCAGTTTAAGATGATGGTGTAGCAGAGTATCATCAGCATAAAAGTGATCAGTGTTTTTGTATTCTCTAAAGAATCTCATGAAAATTAAATAGGACCTAGACTAGAGCCATGTGGTATTCCACAGCATCAAAATGATTGACCTTAGTAGAGACTTTTTATGTCAGCTCATGAAAGAGGAAAAGTTTCAACAAAGACACCAAAAAATAATAAAAACCAGCCCAATAAAATAATCCTGCACCATCTCACATGTGCAGATGCTCAGCTACCTGACCTTTAGCTCACACTATTTTCAGCTGATAAGAAGATTTACCGAAGCAGATCCTTCCTTCATAACAGAGAAGGATCAGAGCCCACCTGATGCGGGGACGACCTACTTTGAGGCCAAACTTTTTTTTTTCTTTTCTATTGTACCGTATGTGAAAATATAGGCCAGTGACAGTAAAGTGTCAACATGTATGCAGGATGGGATTACCCCTGACTCTGTACCCTATAGACACCACATGGCACATGTCAGCTCACATCAGGCTACACTTGAATGGATGACGATATATGAATCAGAGGATGCCATGCAGCATTACGGAGATGATACAGATCTTTCTTCTAGGTTTTTGGCTGAGTGCAGGAGTACTTTGACCGCTTTCATGATGATTTGGTCCAACAAGACATGCTTATCAGTGTAGTTGTGGTGCAATTTAAAAGGACCAAAGTTAATTTTTGTTTATAGCTGTTTTAACCCTTTAGACTGAGAATAGAGTCAGTTTGAGGCTCACATTTCCTCCATGTTCAATGCTTTCTTGTATGCAAGAGGTTTTTCCTGGTATTCGCTCTTAAAGAGAGGGGTCATTTTGTATTTGGGTCTATTTGATTGCCAATATATGTTCAGTGGAAAGTACCATTTTTCTGTAAAGTGAGTCTTCCCCTCATGATTTAAGACAGCTGCCACTATCTTTAACTTTTCTCTTAGCTTGACATGCTACACTGTGCTGTTTCAAAGTCTGAAGTGATGTTATCGAGACGGATATAGACAGTAGACTGCTGTTTCAGTAGCACCATGGCCCAAGAGAGAGGTCCCATCTGTTTACACTATAATGAGGAGGTGTGAAAGTGATAATTATTTTCTGTGTCCTACCATTGCAGCTAAAACAGAGGAGGTCTGTCGGCACATCAACCCTTTTGTTTCTACACATCTTTGTTTATCGTACTTTTAAACTCTTAAACTACATCATATTTGTGGTGATGATGAGAAATGAGTTAAATATTCTCACTGGCATCTCAGCTTCTGGTGAAAATGCTTGAGGCCTTAAAATTACAACAAGGGTTGTCCTAAAATGACTCCTGCCCTACACTCAGACCAATATGGTAAATTGTAAGATCTCATACAGGAAATAGTTTGAATTTGTTATATCTTTAGACTCTGGAACTAATTTTGTTCTTTCTTGGTTGAGAAATGCAAAAATTCATGACAAGATTGATCCTATTTCTTCTGTGGAGTGCCACAAGGCTCTGTTTTAGGTCTTGTTAACATGCCATCAAGTACAAGGGTTTTGTTTTATGCCGATGACTCTATGCTATAACTTTTTCCGATACTGGATGATTCGTTTTGTTTAACATCTTCTGTTGATTAAATTTTGACTTGAGCTTTTAAAGTTTTAATTGCCCAACTTTGATGACAAGCTCTTTCACACTAACCATTTTCTAAATAGATAGAAAAGCATATAATAGTATTATTTAACCCAGTAGGATTAAAAAAAGTTTGTGATTTGTGATTCTAAAACAGCTGTTTGCAAAGAGGAATATGACCCGGTGTCATTCACTTACTCTAATTTTATAATAAATCTGCATTTTGGCTGAAAATGTGTAAAAGAAGTCATCGTGATCGAGTCCTTCTGTTAGTCATCAGTTTCAAAAAAGAATGATGACTTCCTGTTTTATGCACGACTTTGTTAAAATTGTATTTAAAATCAATAATTAAGTTGGTATGACGTCGCTCCGGCGGGTTGCGATTAATATTCTGTTCTATAATCAGTTTTAGCTCAGGATGTTGCAACGACAAACAAACCGGCTAATGTCTTTATCTGGGTGCAAACAGCAGGTCTCTGTGTGTTTGTGAGTCTATCTGTGTGTTTGTGAAGTTGGTGTTGGCAGGTGGGATGAATTCCCTTGTTACAAACACATGTGCCCATGCAAACACACACACACACACAAAAACATAGAGTGAGTGAGTGAGTCACAGGCCAACACAACCTACTGTATCAGTCTGTGGGTCGCCAGGGGCTGATGGGGCCACTCAACCATGAAAGAGGGTACGGAGGCATAACAGACGAGCACACAAACACACACACACACACACACAATATCACATGCAGGGGCACAGGGCGACACATGCACACGGCTTTTTTTCCACAGATAAATATGTGACATCCTGTTTTATCTCTGTCTGTGTGTGTAGTGCTGTCTTCTGGAGATGCATTTCTATTTAACTTATGTGCAGCTGCAAATACGGTTCAGGGAAACACGATGCAACACATTTTTCTAACATGATCAGGAAAGTTTTTCAATGCAAAAATGTCAATATGGGGTTTATCAGCATGAAATTGACAACTTATTTAATTTTCTTTTCCCCAGAGGAAGGCATTGTCGACTCATATTCACGAAGACATTATTGGATATAGAAAAAAAGTCAGCAGTGCTTTGAGACTCGTAATTATTTTAATAACATTTTAACAAAACCCTACTCCTGTCTGAAAACACTTTAGTCGCCTTGAGCTGGATACACACTACAAGATGTTAGCACTGATTTTCAGCCCAATTATCCCCTTCTACAGAAGTCAGAAAGGCATGATTATACGATGGTGTTAAGATTATCCTGCAATGTGAGGTGTGTTAGGAGTAATTTTTACTTCCCCTGATTTTAGGGAAAGAGAATCAGGGCCACCCTGGTTTGAAATCTGATCAGACATATTAAACATGGTCAATATTTAGGATTAGAGATGCTGTTGTTTGGAGGAATCTTGAGTATGGCCAAGGACACACTCCTAATACACCATTTCTGGCAGACTATGAGTCCCAAAACTGAATAAAAACAGTCAAAAAAGTGTTAAAAGTAAAAACATGCCGTTCATTAGCTCCACTAAAGAGACACAAGCTTTTACTATGTTTTTGAATCTACAATAAATCCTGAATTATCAGTTTTAAAGGGATATTCCAGCATCAAATTGATTTAGGGTCAAACACACCGCAAGATCGAGTTAGACAACCCCGTCAAAGATGAATGTTGCAGACTACTTGCTTCTTTAGTTATACCAAACATCTTTTTCAGGTAAATGATAAAGTAATGATCATAAATGTTCTTCCTTGAGCTGTGTCACCCCGCTGTAGTCCGTAATGGACTGGCCTGAGGTCTCGCTACAAACAAGCGGCTGCTGGAAGAGATACGGTGAGTTGCGTCTAGTCTCTTTGCTTAAGAAATTAGGCAAAGTTAAAAAGATGCTTGGTGGCTAGTGCTGCTGCTGGGACCCTATGTGTACTGTTGATGAAGTTAGGTGCTGTGCTGAGCATTATTTGTGGCTATAGAGTGGCGTTTTGGTTGAGCGTGTGGCTCTCTGTATTGCTATCTATGGTTGTTACAAAAATTGGTATAACTAACGAAGCAAGTAGTCAGCAACATTCATCTTTGAGGGGGGTGTCTAATTTGATCTTACGGTGTGTTTGATCCTGAATTAATTTTACGCTGGAATATCCCTTTTAAAAGTGTGTGACCATCTTTTGGAGGGCTGCTAAAGCTAGCTAACTAGCAGCAAGTACTGCTTCTTCTTTTTATTCTTCACTGACTTTTAAGCCTGGTGACACCTAATGTGAAGGACCACGACTGCCTCATACTATGTATACTTAGTACATACTGCATACCATGGGGGTTTGGCTACAGCCCTATCTCTTTTACAGACCAGAATAAGCACAACAGGATCAAATGGGAGTACAAATGTTGAATGAAAAACAAAATTTAGTGGATTTAAACCCTTTTTGTAGTTTGTACTGAGCAGTTTTTCCAGCAGAAAGGATCATTTCCAAAACCCCTGATAAGTTTTAGATCCATCATTTGACTCCCAACTTGAGCTTAATTCATCACCATCCTTCTCTCTCCCTCATTTATAATGCAGACTTCAATGCCTGCCCCCTCATACTACAGATTTGTGTTTGGGTGTTTGTCCATTAATGACTTACACGATGCTAATTGTTGCTGTGTGTTTGAATCAGTCATGCTGTCGACTCGTATGATGTGTCCTCAATTCCAGCCAGCACGCTCTTGTGCCATGCTGTCCGTGTGCGCGTGTCTTCTTCTCCCTCCAGCCCACATCACTGTACCCCCTCCTCTTCCTCCTCTTCCTCCTCTCCTCCCCTCTCTCCCTCACTCACACACACACACCAGTCCCACCTCCCTTTGCCCAAACTACAGTGAAGCTCATTCAACGGATTCTCCGCAGTGCTGAAAGACCGGAGTGAAGTCAAGAAGGAGAAGGAGGAGGATTGAGGGAGGAGGAAACACGAAGCACGAGAGAGTGTTCAGTGAGGGGAGACAGAGAAAGAGAGAAGGGGAAACTGCAAAATTTGGTGCCCAGGTTTTGCCAGTGCGCACAGATCTCTCGTCTGCTGCACGGTCCGAGCAGCTCTCCGCTCTGCAGGGTGAGTAAAGCTGCTCCTGCCTTCATTTCAGCTGTGCCTCACCAAAAAATCTTCATCCTTACCTCACCTCACTCTGTCTTCCTCCCTCTAACATCTGTTACAGCCGCTCGCTCCTCTGCTTTGGCTGCATGCGCACGTCAAGTCTTAAGAGATATTACTCATGCATGTGTCCCTGCGTTTGGAGCGCGTTTAATTTTAGCTTCCTCAATGAAGAAGGAAGGGCATGGGAGCTTCAAGTCTTATTGCTCACCAGGTTCAGAGAGGAGAAGAGGTGTGTGCTGTTGTGCTGACAGCCGCTGATGAGTGCGTGTCTGCCTGTTAGCGGAGGAATGTGCCGTACGCTGATGAGTGTGGCGCATTTGGAATAAGGCAGTCAATATAGAGTCTGGAGAGCAGCGCGAGGAAGCTGCTTCGCTCCCGGCGGCGCGTGGAGGAGAGAGGGGATGGAGGGAATGGGAGGGGGGGACAAAGTGTGTGTGTGGATGCTGTGATTGTGTCACCCTGGTACCTGTGAGTGTGTGTGTGCCAGGGAGAAAGAGAGAGAGAGGGGAGAGACCTGGAGAGAAGCAAACGTTTCTGAGGGTAGAACGGTGTGCATATTTGTGTGTTTGCATGCTTGTGTGTGCGTGTGTAAGTGTATGTGTGTGTGTGTGTCTTCGAAACTCTTGGCTCCTTCTTGGGGAACCCATCCTGTGATACTGTTCCAGCAGACTGCAGCACTTCTTCTGGGGTCCATCTCCCTCTCCTTACATACATATGCATAATGAGAGTGCTTGAGCGTGTGTGTGTGTCCGTGTGTGTGTGTCATGGAGAAAAAAAGGATGAAGAGCAGACAGTAGAGAGAGAGAGAGAGAGAGAGGGAAAGTCTTTGTAATTCTCACTCTGTATTGTGGTCATTAAACCAGAGTATGGAGTATTACAGCTGGAAAAAAGGAGGAAACGGTGCTGCTCAAAATGAAAGACATGCTCAGTACAGTGTTGAATTACAACTCACTGTTTTGAATGCAAAAACATAATTCATAATGCAATGGTGGTAATGTGTGTCAAAAGCCAGGTCTGCGTCCAAGCTGAGTTGAATTTGCAAAACATCTCTGCAGGAAAGCGCCGGTTTTATGTGCAGCCCCTGTCTGCTGATGTTATGTGAATCTTCAAAGACGTCTGTGTAAGCAGTAGGTGGTATTAATGCTCCAGTCAGGTGCCATCTTACCTGTGTAGAAGACAAGGGCGCACTAGCATGACATGCTCTGCATTCCCGCTGACCTTTAACTGTACTGTCATGAAAATAAATAAATTATTAAGTCACAGTGCATGTTCGTTAAATCTACAACCCCATCTCCAGGAAAGGAAGTGCTGTTGATGAAAACAGGGTTAGAGGGTTTACAAATAGAAAGCCTTTTCTGAAATGAAAATAGTGTGACAATTTATATTAATGTTACTTGGATTCATTTTGGAAATCATGGACGCTACATCCTCAACTCTAACTTTGCATTCACACCAAGCACAAATAAAATCGTCTACTTGCCTAATTCATGCGTATCTAGATGCGTAAATGAATAGTATTTACTTGCTTCATCTACACGAACGACTCGGTCTATTCATAAGAATATTCATTCAGTCCATTTGGGCGATTCGCGCATCAACACAGTGCTTGAAAGCCATGGATAGCCGCTTATGCTAATTTCAACAGTGATTCTTGCCAATTCAACCAAGTGGTAGCCAACGGTTTTTCACAACTTAATAATCTGAATTTCTGTACTTATAAAAATGCACGTTTTGTCAAAACACTCTGGGTACCTGCACACCGACACGATAAGCTTGTTCTCCATTCTCCACATCAGTGAACATCTTCCGGTCTGTTTTCATGCGTCACCCAGAAATCTTTGTGCTGTTTGGTTACCAGGACGCATATATTTGCTCAAATTGAGATACTTTCAACTCTGAATTCGCCTCATTCGTGTGAGTGACTTGCTCAATTCACACTATTCGCGCCACCCAATTCGTGTCATTCACGCCACTATAGTAGAAAGAGCGACTAATCACATCTTTGCATTGACTTTACATGTAATCCATTCGCACAAATGATTTAACTCGCGCTTGGTGTGAACGCAACTTAAGGAGCATACAGTTCAACGGCCAGTGTTCATGGTGATATAGGGGTGCAGAAGTACCTGCAACATGGGTAGCTTACACATCTAGAAAGGAACCATTAATGTTGAAATATACAAACAGATTTTGGAGCAACATATTGCCGTCCAGATAGCGACTTTTTCTCCTGGGAAGACTTTGCATAATACGGCGAGAATATGCCAAATTACATCTTGCACGTAGCATGGCTCAGAAGTAGGAGAGTCTGCAATAAAGGCAGGACACCACTGTGGTGTTAGTGCTGCACAAGATCATACTCATCCAGAAAAGTAGAAAAGTGAAAAAACTAAATTGTATAATATATTGATAGTTGTTGCTGAAAAGTTAAATGTAATATACTGATCTCCAAATCTAAGTTCAACCTGCAGAGTTTCTGTTTGCTGGCATCACTTTTAAACTCTAGTCTGCAGTTTATCTTATATAATAATGGACCTCATAGTTATTCAGAGCAAGTTCAAATTTATCTCTGATATATGCAGAGAGATTATTATGAACGCCGTAATGACTTCAACCTTCTGAATCTTGAACTTTGTCCAAAAAAGACAAAAATCAATCCGAGAGCAGAAAAATGTAGGATATGTTTTTTATAACAGAGTTTGAATTGGACTAGATAGATTGGGAAAGAATGATTAAACCTTGCAGAATCAATTACTCTGACGATAAAGATGACCTTTAAACACTATGCCAGTATATTAGAAAGATGTGTATTACATTTTGATAGATTCACGGCAGCTCAAATGCCCTGGACAAAAGCTTCAAATGTCAGGAGGTCGGGTGTAATGCACAAGCGATCATTCAGTTTACTACAAGCCGAAGCGGAGATCTGACAGCTTGTGTAAGACGTGAAGGGTCTTCATGGTCTGTTGTCCTGCAGCTTTCAGAGGTGAAAGGAAATGAATCACGCTCTAACTCCAGTTCTTTAAACGGCTGATTGATGGTGTGAGTCACTAACGTCGACAGGGTCAGAGCTTTGTTTCCCGTCAGGATTACTACACCTACTGTAAAGTCCTTGGGTTACATTAGTCCTGCAGAAAGACAAGGACATATCTCTGCTGTCATCTCATACCCCTGTGACTTCAATTCTCATGGTTAACAATCACATCAGGAACATGATGGTTTGGTTGTGACTTTGTGTGAGCTCTTTGGAAAAGTTGCATCAGCTTTACAACAAGAACAGCTGCATTAAGGGTCATTGAGGACTATACTGCACATTTCATCATCAACCGATCAATCACAGACAAGACATGAGTCGAGTTTTGGCTTCTAGGAGCCTGAGCAGAACGTGAGCAGGATTAAAAACCCAACCTTTGCAATAACCCTTCATTGTTGAGTCCATGCTTTTGCATTTTTCTAAGAGCCGTCGAACCCCGATAACAAGCAGCCAGCCTGCAGTTAGAGCAGTTTTAGTTGCCTAGATCAAACCCAAAGTTTCTATATCGGTGATGATACAAAAAAGGGCTGTTTCGTGTAGCAGAATCTATCTTTCATCATCAAAGCGTTTGATTTCCCAACTGACCACCGCCAAAGTCTGGAGAAAACACTCTGCTGTAGCCATAGACTGTATATAGAATGGATGCCGTTTACTTTCTTGATGGGTGGAGCCTCTCTGAGAACAGCACCCTCTGGTGACGGGCTGCAGTATAGGTCATAAATCCCGCCTCCTCCAGCAATCTCTATGGAGCTGTGGACAAACTTTAGAAATCAATTACACAGAATATACATTTTTCTCCCCCCCTCGTTGTGATGTTGACATGTAGTTACTGTCAGACTGGTTTGTGCTCAAGTCCTCTTTTTTCTTTACAGCTCCATTTTTAAAAGTTATTAGGAGGTTCATGTTTTCTATGATTGACACCTGATACAGCCTATGGGCGTACAAAGATTGCGTAGCTCACTCAGGGGATACGCTGTTTGAGTCGGGCTTCATCACAGCGACTCTCCCGCCGAATAAGTACAACTCTACTGGGCAAATGGTGGTTCCAGGAATTGGAGAAAATCCCGAAAATACAGAGAGCAATTCGGCTTCAAATTCGTATAATGGCGCAAGGTAGAGCCAAGTTGTTCGTAGTATATACAGTCTATGGCTCTATGGCAGTCTATCTGTATGATGATTTCAGGCCCAACTTGCGAATTCTGGTTGTTGGAAAGGCTCAGGATTGGCTGTCGTTGACCCTCACTGAATGTGACGGCAAAGTTCAAATACTTAAATCCAAAAGGCAACAGGACTCAGTCGAGGTTCCTGCAGACCTCTTCTTCTCATCTTAAAGGGTTCTCGAGTGGTAAGAGTCAGAACATCTTCAAATTTCACCCTATTTGGAAGAAGAGTGTCATGTTTTCAAGAACTTCAATCAAGTCCTGTCCTCTTTAGATCAAGACTCTTGAAGGGATCTTAATGAGATGCCAAAGGAAGATCACTGCAGAGTTAGATATCTGATGGGAGCCACTTCAGACCCTTTTTTTTGGATTAGGGATGCAAGGATGTTTGTTATTCTTCTGAAGGATATTATTTAAACTGTGGGACACATTTCGGTGTTTAAAAAGAAAAACCTTAACTGCGCAGTCAAATAGAAATCAAGGCTGTTTCGGAAAAGCCTGCATTTTGAAGAGGCTTTTTCCCTGCACAGCTGCAGTGATGTATTTTCTCTGAATTATGCACAGTTAAGGTCGATCCCCCCTCTGGCTGAAGCCAAATTTGACCTCACATTATACAACATTCAAGCAGAGTGAAGGTGGATGAAAATCTATGATTGGCTCAGTGGTGGAGGTTGTTTTTTTTTTTTTCTTTTCACACCGTTCTCCACACGCCTCACTTACTGCATGTGTGTGACGTTCAGCATATGTGTGTACGGCACAAGGACTTTCCTCCATTTCTGGGCCAAGGTCTTTCCCTTTAAGCTCCCTCTCCCTCTGTTTCTTCTGCGGTGTATCTGCTCATCTCTCCTTCTCTGTTTTATCTACCTCTGCTCTGCACATTAACACACAGTCTCCTGCAGGCCTACCTTCATTTTCTCCACTGTGTGTGCATGTGTGTGTTTTGAGTTTCACATAAGCTAATTATCTTTATCAGCCCAGCAGTCGTTGTGCAGACTTCAGGATGAGGGTTTGTTTCCCAAAGCTTTCATCGTCTTAAGTACCGCTTTGAGAAATGAGAGTCTTCCCGAGGCTTCGAGAAGCACAAACGTGGTTCAGCATTGTTCTTACAAATATCTTGTCTGGAGAATTTTGATGCAGTGTTTGAAGATAACTTGTAGAGTGGAGTTTATCTTTCTAATGGGGCTTAATGCCTACGTTTGCTCCTCTTTTTCTGCTTGTTTTTTTTTCTTCAATATTCCCTTTTTCTGTGGATCCTTTCTTGTTTAGCCTCGCCAACACAATGAGACATAAAACTCGCCGTCCCAACATTACCTTACAAATCCTCCTGGATTCCTTTCATCACACAGTTGTGTCTAAACTTCCAACCAATCCTTTTTGTTTTGTCTCTCCTTTTTTTCTTCTTTATTTATCCATCCATTCATCATCTCCTCCTGCCGTTTCATCTCGTCCTCCACTCTTCTGATCTTTAAATATCCACCTCCTTTCCTGCCAGTTGGCATGAGCCTCTCTCTGCTGACAGAGGGACATATTGCCTCCTCAACAGAAAACAAACCCCGCTCCCCCCCCTTATTCTAGCAAGCTAACCTGGGAACGCCATCTGTGGAGCCCCGCCCGGCACCATGGGACATGTAGTTTCCTGGAGCTCAGCAGTTGCTTTGCTCTGCTCCGTATTGACCGTTCCTCTCTGCAGAGCCTTTCATCTCCGTCTCATCTGGCTCCTTTTTTTTTTTCCTCTTTCGCCTTGAAAAAGGAAAATGTGGGAGCCAAGATTTCCATTCTCACTGAGCTAGCCCATTACTGCGAGAGCTGGTTGAATAAAGAAGTCCACTCTTTCAAGGAAATTTGGTCTCCAAGGTTTTCGGCTACTGCCAAGAATTTCAAGACTTTAAAGAGACACCTGGGGGATTTGTAAAAAGTTAACTGAATTTAGATGTCCTGATCATATTAAAAGTTTTATCTTCCCAAAGTTATCTGCTTCTTGTAAAGATGTCTACTTCTAAAACAATACTGAACTGTCCCTTTAAGAGCCAATATAGGGACTAATTAAAGGTGGGGTAGGCAGGATCTGAGGAAGTGCCAGTTTTTGGGAGAAGTCTTGAATGTAAACTCTACCCCTCCCAACCAGTTTTCCCCTCAGCTCCTCCTCCCCCCTCCCTCTTTGCTCCAGCAAGCCCCGCCCACAAACAGATACTCCTGCTCGCTTTAAATTAAATTCAGATATAATGCAGATAAATACAGATAATTACAAATGGGGCCCAGTCAATGTGAAAGTAAACAGCATTGGTGCTACTGTAGATGCCAACAGACTACCAGCAAACACAATGTTGACCAGGTTTCTTAGCTCTTGTCTGGTCTACCTCCATTTTAAGCGTCTGTCTCCGGTATTTACTTCGTTTTCTTGCTTGTGTTTTCCGTACTTTCTGGTCGGTTTCTACTGTCCGATATAGCACACTAACTTTGTTTGGCCTCGTGCACGTTATCGGAGGACGTGGAGCGTGCTTTACAACATGAGGGAGCAGTGTCCTCCTCACAACCAATCAGGTCGGGGAGGTGGAGAACGGCTTTGTTTACAGTCAGAAAGAGCGGGCCGCTCAAAATTTTAAAATGTTGACTACACAGACATAACAAAACACAGCGATATCATTATATTACCAAATGTCATCAATAATTAATAGGTGTTGACTGATTTTAAAATCTTTTTTGTATATACGCCACAAAAAAGATGTTTCTTTAATGGAATTCTGCCCACCCCACCTTTAAGTGAAGAGCAGAAAGAAAAGAGATTTGTTGAGTCCTGTGTTTATGTGCTTTTTTGGTGTGGCATCAATTAAAACTAACAGTGAATCTGGTTCCATTACCTTTATAGTCAGGGGTGTTACTAATTACACAGGAGAATTTAGCCCAAATTGACATATCTAACTTATATTCAATCATTGTGTCCCTGTAAACACAGAAAACACACAGGGAGGTCACTGTAAAGTTAAGAAGTATAAACTAAAACAATCCCAAACTTTGGCGCCATGACTCACAGAAAAAGTTTTTTAGTCATTAAAGTTTGTGAGTTAAAATAAAAGTTTAACAAACCTTGGATCATTCACCATTCATTCATTTAATGTGTCTTAATCCTTTTTATCTTATATTAATCCCCTATTATTGCTCCATTTTTATCTCATTACCATTTTGTTCCAGTTCTCCTTCTTGGAGCGCATCAAACGAAAATATGTTTATTCATTAAGTGAGACGCTCACACAAACCCGACGATAATCACTGATGAGAAGTCTTATTGATGGAAGATAAAAATAGTATCATTTCATAATAAGCTCTTTATGAAGTGAACGGCCTATATCTGGAAATTAATTCATATGTACAAAGCTCTTGATTAAAGAATCTTATTATAACTCCTACACTGACATTCATGCTTAAATGCTTTAATTAGCGACGCACACTCATTCATTAAATTGGACTTCATTGAGGGTGCAAGTCTTGGATAAAATCAAACAGAATAATGAATGTGAATAAAAATGGTATATGTTCTGAGGACTGTTTTATCGAGATCGTTCTTTGTAATAAAAAGAAAAGCCGGTGGATTAAATTTAACCTTCAGCTTCTGTGTTTATTTTTACCTTTGAAAACTTTATACTGCAGGGACACAGCTGACTGTAGCAATGCAGCACTTTATAGACCGGTAACAGAGAAAACAAGCTAATAGAACTGATCTTCTAAACCTGTATTGCTATGGCTAAGCCTGACCTTTGACCTCCAACTATTCCCTCATTCCTGTGAAAAACTGAGCATGAAGACAGGAAGTAGAGTGTAGGGCGGCACGATTTTGGCCAAAAATAAATCCCAATTATTTCTCTAAAACTCTATTTTAGATTTCAATTTTTTATCCAGTGACAACTTCACCAAACTTCACTTTAAAAATAAGTTTTTCAAAATGAGACAACGGAAAACAATGTAGTGCATATGCTAAGCTGGTGAGTGGTGCTGTAAAGCTCCTGAGGAAATGCACAAAAGACAGACGAAGAGTACAGAGCATGCGTATAAAGGTTGTTTTGGCTGGACGCACACAGGCGCCATAAAAGAGTTACGCTGTGTGAGACACGGAGATGAAATAGTATTCGTTTACGGATTTATGCACTCTCTGACCCGTTTTCAAAAAGTACGCTTTACAGTCACCCGAAATGCCGATACGACAAAAAACTTTTGCATTTACTCTTGAATTTGTTTCCGTGTGGACGTGTTGATACCGCCTTCAGACAGAGTTTGCAGTGGGGAGTGGTTTGCTCTTCAAAGCCGAACTAATTTCACACGACTGACTTACTCTTACCCTATTTAGCCAGGAAATTATCGCCTTAATTTGCAAACACCATGTTTGTTTACTCTGGTGTGTGTAAGAACTGGGGAGCGCTCACGCAAGCAAATTTTTTTTGAAGGATGGTAGGGGAAGATCCCGCCCTCCTTCACCTCTGATTGGCTAGAAGTGCTGGGCTCCGATTGGTTATTCCTAATGGCTGTGAAACGTCATCGTCTGTCGGGTTAGGGTTAGGAGATTCAGAAGTGCAATATTGTTCTGTAATGTTCTGTTCGATGTACGGGGCCGACAGCCCGCGTTTGGCTTGAGCGTGTGATGACATTTCCAGCTTTTCTAGCCAAAAGCCAAAAATATCACCTCCCGCTGGTAGGAGGAGCCTATGGTGGCCTGGAAGGCGTGAGACATGATAGAGAGGAAAACCAATTTGACGATTCTGGTTTTTTTGACATCGTCATAATTAATTTGATTACAATTTACAATCAATTAATCGTGCAGCTCTAGTTGAGTGAAACAAAATGTGTAAAAATTTATGAATAACCACCAGAGCATGAGTCTGATTCAAAACGCAGATACAAGCAGCAATTATCCAGAATCCAGCGGCTACAGGGATCCAGAGTAGAAAGAAAGACTCAACAATGAAACACCAAGACGGCCTGAAAAAAACGTCATCCCTGACTCGAGTGAAGACAGAGAGAAAAGAAATGTGAGGGTTGTTGAGAAAGTGTAGAGCCGTGGTTGTTAGATGTAGAGAGGATTTCAGCACCACCGAGTTGGACAGCTCCCCAGCCTGCTGCTCACTGCTGGACTGACCTGGAAATGTTTCTTCATTCACAACTCTGCACTGACAACCAAAACAGTGTATTTAAGAAACACAGCAGCCGGATATAAATAACTGTACGACTTCCTGTCAAGGTTTTCTAAATAAATCTCTCAAGACTTTTGGACGCAACTGTAATTTCCTTTGGCTCCACCAAAACTGACGCCAAACATGTGGAGCTCAAGCTGCTGTAGACGTCATAGAGTCTGCCTCCTTTATGTGAACACATGCGGGGTGGGTCAGACTATAAATCTAAAGTACACTGTGGAGAAAGTGAGATATAGGAGCTGTAAGCTGTTACATTTGATGCTGGAAATAAAGGGTAGAAGAGCGAATACGTCTTTTGAATTGCTTCATATAAGATTCTGGCGTCGCGTCTTCACTTCTGCACAAAAGAAGAAGAATAAGACGACTTATCTCACTCCTTCTCTAAATCATTTTGCTCTGCTTCTGTCCTTTTGACCTTTCCTACCCTGCTTCCTAACCCCAGCACACCGTCCTTTTCTGCATTTTTATGCACCTCTTCATCCACCAGTACTTTTTTATGTCTGAATTATTTCCTACATTTTCCTGTTATACCGTTAAGTTCACCTCCCGGTCTTCACACCTCCCTTCACCCCTTTTCTTTATCTCATTTATCTTACCTCCATTTTTCTTACCTCTCCTCTCACACCTCCATTTCATCTCTTTTACTCTGCTTCTACCCCTCACTGCTCTTTTCTCCTCTTCCCTACTATCATCTACCTCCTCCCCGCCTCCCCTCCTTCCCTCATGCCATTACCTCGGACTGTTTATTCCAAAGCAGCTCCGCTCCATTCATCAGTAATTCATTACATCTCCTCTGCTCCTGAATTCTCCTGCACACAGCATTAGTTAGCTGCTGGTGCGACCTGGGAATTGTGGTTTTATTCTCCAGGCTTCAGCTGCACAGAGAGCCTCATCCCAGCCAATTTGTTGTCAGCTATCTCAGCAAACATACGCCGCCTGCAGTTCTGTGTGTGTGTGTGTGTGTGTGTGTGTGTGTGTGCGTGTGTGTGTGTGTGTGTGTGTGTGTCTGAGCTCTCTTTTTAATACTCGGTGCCATAAACCATTCATTTAGCTCTTGTCATCTTAACTATAGACCGTATAAACATGGACTTGGAGCACATTGGAGCAAAAATACCAGGAACTTTTAGTTTCAGGTTTTTTACTTCGAGGTCCACAGTTTTGTATGTTTCCACCGCAGCCATAAAGTACCATGAAGATTATACAAAGTAGGGCTGGGCGATATGGCCTCAAATCAATATCACGGTATATTGATCAGTTCACCTTGATAACGATAAATGGACGATAACTACTCCACAAGCTGCTCACCCCCTCCCACATTAACTTCGTCTACTTCAGCTGCTACAACTTTTGAACCGTCCTCCATCTCCTCACCTGTCTTTCCCTCTTTGTTACAGATTGGATGGGGTGGAGTCACGTCTCTGACGTAGGACAGCGTCTTAAAGGGACATGAGACCATAGTCTACCTACACACATCCAAAACCAACTTTGATTTATTTTTTTGACCCCGAATATACTGACATGGGCAAAATGATGTTGGTTATTGTCATAAATTTCGGTATTGGTAAATTTTCGGTTAATCACCCAGCCCTAATACATTCACATATGGAGAGCTAGTTCAGGTTAGTTATTCAGTAAATTGAGTTTTTGCTGAACTTTTTTCACTGAAAGTTTGTCATGAATAATTAAACAACTTCAGGATAACATCCGTTTACAGGAACTATTTGCTCTTAGTTCCTGGATCCGAGAAAAATCATCGAAGTACAAATACTGACTGATCAAATCACATCTGATATATGTGTTTTAAGTAGAGGTATCCCGATACAACTTTTTACTTCTGTTACGATACCGATATTTTAGCCTTCAGTATCGGCCAATACCGATATTGACACAAACTTGTGCATGACAAGTTTTTCACTCAGCTGCAACATCTTTTTCAGACTTTAACAAAAATACTGCCACAAGGGCGACATCACTCCTACTCCTTGTTACTTTGTTAGTACCTTAGTTCACACTGTTGTTGTGATCACATGGGCTCTACATGCTGGATCAGGGCGCTGCTAGATCGAGGTGCTGGAGTGGAGTCTGGAATGGACTACTTGTATCGGAGATTTTAGATGCGGGTTGATATAATCCCATATTTGTTTTTTGGCTGATATCGGACCGATATCAGATATCAATATCGTATCAGGACAGCCCTAAAATTAAGAACCTGTTTTGTTATTAAATTAGATCATCCTCTTGGGCCAAAACCCATCTTATGTTGGTTCTTGATCATCAAACAATGAGCGTGGTCTTGACCTGCTCTTGTTCCTTGAAAAGCGTCTTGAGATGACGACTGTTGTGAATTGGCGCTATATAAATAAAATTTGATTGATTGATTGATTGATTGATCTTGCCCTGGACTTCAAGTTCCTGGACAGGAAAAGCAGGAACTTTCTTAAGAGAAGATCAACTACCCCTGAACTAACTGCAGGCCCTCTTGCTCAGTTCCAGGGTATAGTTAAATTCAGTTAATTTCAAGGGTGGTTGTCACACTGGGACACAGACAGAGAAGTTGTCCCTCAATAATTTCTAAATATGTAAATCACTGCATGAACTCTTGGCTGCAACATCTTTAAAAAGGATAAATTCTGAAGAGTAGTTATGGAGCCAAGGCCACCAAGTTACACTAGATTTAAATATATCTAACTGAACCCGAATCGTCCCTTTAACGTCTCAGCACATGGTCTGCTCCAATAAGAGAGCTTCAACATAAGAGGCTTGTCCAACCTTGGCCACCCCTTTTGCCAAACCAGGAAGTGCCATCCCTCCACAGCCAGGTATATCAAAGACTTGAGTGCAACAGTTTTTAGTCTGTTTTTTTTTTTTTTTTCACATTTTTTTCTTCTTGTATTCTCTGTTTTTATTGACAGACAGTAGTACATGTATTTTTAGTCACTAGAGTATGAAGGTTTATTTTCATTCGCAGAGAGAGTCTTGAAGTCACAACAAAAGAGCTGGAGGCCGAAAACTCTTGGCTTTGGTTTAGTTTCAGAGAAGTTCACTGCATGAGTGAACGGCTGGAGACAAACAGTTGTAAGAGCGGGTCGACTTTCATTCACTTTTAGTCGGTGTGTTTGTGTTTTTACTGAGGGGAAACAGTGTGAATGAAGCCCTCTGAGAGCCCACAGGGTGAGGCAGTTATCCGCGTCCCTCAGGTACTCAGTTCTGTCTCTTCTCCACAGAGCTGAGGATGGATTTTGTTTTGACTCAGCGGTTCTTAAACGTCACTCTGCCCTCTCATGTTGAGCCTGACATTTCCAGCAGTAAGACTGATGCTTAGTTAGACGAGCCAAACACAAATCACTTTTGTCTTATTGAGTGGATGTGACTTTATAAAGAGCTGACGTCTCTGAAGTGTCGGCCGTCTCTCAGTCACGTCTTTCTTTATGTTTGATTTAGTCGACAGAGGACACTTTGACAGCAGGCCGGCTCAGAACTTCTTCATGCTGCACTGTTGACATGTTTGAGTCTTCTGACAAAATAACGAAACAGCTGATCGTTCTGGATCTGAAGCACACACACACACACTCACTCACGCACACACTCTTCTCACAGCTGTTGGGAGGAATAATGTTTAGTGAGTGGATCATTACAGCAGAGAGAGTGAGTGAGCTCCACATACAGATATCCAGATGTCCATTATTGCACTTTTTGTGTAACTTGTGAGACTTTAAAGTTCACTCTCCTGCCTGAATCACTCACCAGTTTGCTCGTCCTTGTGTGTTTACTCACACCCGGGTGTTTGTTTGCACACCCACACACACCTGATGTGTCCGCTGTCGTCTCTGCAGGGGGGGAACCAGGATTAAGTGGGTTCACTGGAGGCGAGAGGTGTTTCACCATCTCAAATATTTGTAAGGTGTGACTCATGTCTGAGTAAGCGAATCCTCCGCAGCGGAGCGCGCTCTGCAGCGTTTCGGTGAGTGATGAGGTCACTCCTCATCCTCGCTCTGACACCCGCTCCTTCTCTCTCTCTCTCTCTCTCTCTCTCTTTCTCTTTTCTTATCTCTTCACTTCTGATGATGTCGGCTGAGTTCATTTTGTTCTCAGCTGTTGTCTTATCATCTCTTTCTCTCTCTCAGGCAGTGAACTTTACCTGACATCCTACTTGAATGTCATTTTCTGCGATAAAATACAAACTTTTAAACAAGCAAACATAAAAATTAAAGTGTGAGCCATCATCCGCTCATCCTTTGTTGTTTGATTATGAGAATCTCATCATTTTAAAATCCAGTTTGAATAAATTTGCCTTTAAATATTACAACCAATATCTCATTTGCACCACCTGCACCATCAGTTTCTCTTTGGTTTAACTGTGTTGAAAATAAATTTTTGGTTCGATTAAAGCTCCCATTTATAAACTAATCTTAAACTAATGCTGCGTTCCAGTTGTACTCGGAAGTCGGGACATCAGACTGTCCGAGGCGGAAGAATTATCTGGAACGCCCTCCTGTGTGAGCACAACAACACACGACATTGTTTTCGACTTGTTTTGAGTCATCAACTAGCGCATCAAATCCTGTCAGACCCTCTTCCATTAATGTGAAAGGTAACGTTCAAGCTTACACACTGTCTATATAGCGAGTAGCGTGGTTAACGTAATGTAACATGAACGTAGCAGACACAATAGCGCTAGGGGAAACACTGACTTTTAATGCCTGAAACCAACATAAGCAGCTGAGAAAGTACCTTCCTTATAAGATATTTGCATGTTTCTCCACAGGGGGGCTCCAAAGTTAACACAGACTAAAAGTTCCTCACAGGAGCTTTAATATGTCATGAATTTTAAGTTTAAATGGAGTGACCATACATCCTCTTCTACCTGGACATGTCCTCTTTTGGGGGGCTGTCTGGCTTTGGGGAGTTTATAAAATCCCTCAGATGTCCGGGGTTCTGTATGAAAGTTCTGAGTTTGTGTCGCCTGGACTTACTGAGATAAAAGTGCATAAAAAACACCCGACCCAACCCAAAAACCTCTCAAAATTTACCGTACCATCCTCTTTTTGGTGATTCAGAATATGGTTACCCTAGTTTAAACATTTAACATTTAGAAGAAGTTCGAGTTTATCCAACTTCACTTGATGTACATTAACTTGAGCTCTGTTAAAATTACCTCAGACCAAAGGGAGTTCAGTGACCAAGCTCTGCACCTCACTCACACTTTAACAAGTCAGCTCTTTAAAAGGCATTTCCACTGTTCATGACTATAACTTCCAAATCTACTGTGGGTCTGTTGACTTTGAGTTTCTTAAAGACTATGCAGGTGCCTGTGTGACATGAGGAGCTTATTTTAACTCAAATCTGCGAGATATTGTTGAGTTCTTAGATTTTTCTGATCATGTTTAAGCTCCTAACATCAACGCCTCAGTTACGACAAACTTGGTTGTGGACTCCCACTCCCCCACTTGTGTCCTATTTAGTAACACAACAAAGTCAGTATGTGGCACAGAAAACAAAGTGTCTCAAGGTGAACCGTGTCGAAGAAAAACCGATTCGTTTCGGAGCCATAAACACAAATTACAAAGACCAGACCCGGAAAGCAAACACATTAAGAGGTAGTTTGTTAAAAGTGTCACATAAACTCACATCAGTACACTTATTTGTTGTGTAATCACAGCTCGGCTCAGTCATAGTAAATGATCCTGACATCATATTGACAAACAGCCCATCTGTTGTTGTTGCTGTCGTGTGTCGCTAAAGGCGGTTTCTGCGTTTACATCTCAAACTGTATATGTGTCAGTGTTCCTGCAAATCATACTTACTCACAGCTCTGTCGACTGTTTGCTTTTAATAATGCACATAAAGCCTGCAGCATGTTTTATTGACCTGTATATATTAACATGCAACTTCAGCTTTAATTGATAGTTTTCATTATGGCTGCAGAGGGACTGAGCAGCTCGGCTCCTGAGCGCGTGAAGTGCTTTACGCTCATATGGAAATAATTTTATTGGACATAACTGTCTGAGGATAAAGCAGCATAAATAAGTTGTTCTGATGGAGAGGGTTTGTGCCCGTTCACTGCAGCGTCTGTGTTTGCTCGCAGCAGAGCTCCGTTCTGGGTCGGTGTTTACAGTTTTTGGCCCGTGATGTTTCACGCCTGCTTCACACCCCAGCGTGCTGAATGTGACCTCCATTTTGACTGGATGGATGGAGGCGCTGTGCGTGTTTGTGAGAGAGTAAAAAAGGATGTTTTCCAGTGTGTGATGCACAGACAGAGGCAGCGTTTCTGCCACCTAGTGAGTGTTAAACTGCACTGCACGAAGCCTGGAAACCTGACGAACTTCTCACCTGCTGGATCCAGACCAGGTTTCACACTGACATGGTCTCCAGAGATCTTAACCACCGTCATTGTTTACAAGGTTAAAGGTTCTCTGAAACAAAAGTCATACTGAAGATTTAAACATTTTAATCACATCAGCAGACTTCATTCATCATTTTAAAGGTTATTCTCTTTGAATGCTCGCCAGCAGCTCTTGTTTTTTGCTTTCTTGCCAAATTATTCTTTTCTGTCTCAATTACGCAGCGACTAAACAATGAACAAAGAGCTGTTGACAGCTTAAAAAATCTCACTGTTCTTTAAAAGAAAGAAAGAAAGAAGTAGGCCGATCAATTATTGATGCCTCCATCCTGACATGAATCTGCTCTGGGTGCGGTGATGCAACCTGGGAAAGACTTCTTGGATAATCATGCAGGAGACAAACCTCTCCGAGTCATTTTAGAGCCAGAAAAACCATTACATCTGGATTATTTTGGACAGGTTTGCCCATTTATAGAGACATTTAAGTCCTTTGTCTGTTTTTCTGTGCTGTCTCCTTGTTCTGAGACCTCTTTTACTGCTTGAAGAGAATTTGTGAGTCCACCTTGAGCACTTGGGTCAAAGCTTTGAAATTAAAGTGAAAGTACGAGGCAGAATCAGTCCCTTCTGCAGCCAGCCTTGCACGCTGTTTCTCCTGACAGTTTCTCATTAAAGAGGGAGAGTATTTGATTTGTAAAAGTCCTTGAATGAAAAGCAAACAGGAAGCACGCAGAGTGAGTCAAAACAGAGTCAGCGCGGTCACGACTGAGGAGAGGAGAAGTGCTGTTAAGACCCTGATGTTTCCATGATCTCCTTCTTTGTTCAATCTAAAGTCTCCATTTCTCAAATCTTAAAAGGGACATTCCGGCGTAAAAGTAATTTAGGGTCAAACACACCGAAACACAGAGTTAAAGAGATGAGTGTAGCTGACCGCTTGCTTCTTTATTTATACCAACTTTCGTAGCGAGTCACGGTAACGGTCTCAGGAGCCACTTGCTCAATCAAAACGCCACTCTATAGCCACAACTTTGCCTAATTTCTTTAGCAAACAGACTCAACACAACTCACCCACTCTCCTCCAGCAGCCGCTTGTTTGTAGCGAAACCCCAGGCCAGTACATTACGGACTGCAGCGGGGTGACGCAGCTCAAGGAAGAACATTTATGATAATTTCTTTTCATTTCCTTGAAGTAATAATCATCATATTAATCATTTTGAACTGTAGACACAGTAGTTCTTCTGCATTAGCGTCTCGGTCTGATTGCATTTCCATGAAGAAATGATCATAAATGTTCTTCCTTGAGCTGCGTCACCCCACTGTAGTTCGTAATGGACTCGCCCAAGATCTCCGTACAAACATGCGGCTGCTGGAAGAGAGTAGGTATGTTGTGTTTAGTCTCTTTGCTAAAGAAATTAGTCAAAGTTAAAAAGATGTTTGGTGTCTAGTACTATGGCTGGGACCCTATATGTCCTGTTGATGAAGTTAGGTGCTGTTCTGAGCATTATTTGTGGCGTTTTGGATGAGGTTTGTTTATGGCTCCTCAGACCGCTGTGTATTTCTATCCTGCGGTCGTTACTAAAGTTGGTATAAGCAAGCAGTCGGCAACATTCATCTCTCGACGGGGTGTCTAACTCGGTGTTACGATGTGTTTGACTCATTAATTTTACGCTGGAATATCCCTTTTAATCGTTGGATTTTACTGACTGTTTTTTCTTTCTTCTGATGCTTTTAATGAGCTGAATCACTTTGTTGATACTTGAGGGACTCTGATGGACGTCAAACATTCAGCTGGTTCAAGGTTGCTCCCTCTCATGTCCTCTCCTCTTTCATCTCCTCTCCTGGACGCTACAACGTGCGCATTTAACAAATGAAGTCGATGAAAGTCGAGAACTATTTCAATCCTCTCTCCTCGCTCTGAATTTGTCGTGTCTTGTATTTCCTGTTTTATTCAGATGGGAATGTTTTTTCTCTCCACAGATGAGTTCCTTCAGCACGAGGGCTCTGACGCTGCTGTCCTCGGTGTTCGGGGCGTGCGGTTTGCTCTTGGTGGGCGTCGCCGTGTCGACCGATTACTGGCTGCTGATGGAGGAGGGGATCGTCCTGCAGCAGAACCAGACCACCGAGGTCAAGATGGCGCTGCACTCGGGCCTGTGGAGGGTCTGCTTCGTGGCAGGTCAGCAATAATTTCAGGTTGAAGGGACACATTTAGAAGCATGTAAATCCAGATCAGTATGACAGGTCTCCTCTAACAACACTTACTCAGAAGAAGAAGAAGAAAGCTCATGTATCATATGAAGCCTTCCTCCTAATGTGTGTCTGAGTCCCTCTTTGGTTGATTCGATCTATAATCAGCTTATCGTTCCTTTGCCGTAGTGTGACTGTTTACCGCCCTCGCTGAGAGATAAGGTTCAGACTTCTTTCGAAAATTATCCCTGGATTTCCTTGCAGACGTAGATTTTGCGCTGAGCCTAACAAGCCTTCAGACTCTCCCCAAAGCAAAGACTTGGAGGGAACAAAGAGGTTTAGAGAGTCCTGAAGGAAGGAGGCCATAATGTTATCAGAGTCAAAATGACCGCGGCGTCTCCGCCTTCCAGGAGATAAACCGTCCCACCGAGAGATGCAGGACCACGAGACGGCTCAATCCTCATTTGTATTATGAAAGGGTGAACAGATGTCCTCTTTTACCAAGACATGTCCTCTTATTTGGGGGCTGTCCGGCCTCGTCTGGGGAAGTTTATAAAATCCTTCAAATGTCTGGGGTTTTGTATAGAAGTTTCGAGTTTGTGTCACGTGGACTTACTGAGTTTAAAGCGCGTAAAAGACACTCAATCCGACCCGAAAAACTCAAAATTAACTTTGTGAGACTAAGTGAGACTTTGTGAGACTCTGTGACTCAGTAGTTGTGTCCTCTTTTTGGGGATTTATAACTTGGCAGGGCTTGACACTCACGTTTTTCACCTTAGGAGCACATGTCCCTCTAAGTTGAAAAAAGTAAGGCGCACAAAAAGAAATTTAGGGGCACAATGAAAATTGATCAAATAATTTTTGTCATATTGGTCAACATATGTACTACTATTTGAAATCAATTTTAGGTCTTTTGGTCACATGACATGAAAGCTATTAAAGAAAATGTTCAAAATTTGCCTTTAAATTTGACGCAAAAATTTTATGAGTACAAACTAGGGAAATAAAGAGGTGTGTCTTATTGGTCGACATATTTACTATTATTTGAAATCAATTTCAGGTCTTTTGGTCGCACGACATGGGAGTTATTGAAGGAAAACAGCCTTTTCTGAGAACATCAACTGGTAATTTATTGACGATCCCTTATTCAACACCTGACGTTGACAGCAAGGATGCCGAGTAGATTTAACCGCTGCTGTTGTCATTCCTGGTTATGGAGAGTGAGAAGACAGGAGTAGATCCCAATGAATGTCCGTCAAATATCCAACCTAAAATTAACGTCACTGCGGTAAAAAATTAAATAACATTTGTCACCTCGGCTGATTTCTTATTCGCTCATGTGCCCCTAAATAAATTTTACAATTCGCACACATCTATTTTTAAATGCGAGTGAAACAGTTGCACTGTCGAGCCCTGTATGGTCATCCTTTATTATGATGATAATGAAATTTACACCAATTAAAACAGGTAAAATACTACAGGATCAGGTTAAAAATCACTGAATATACCTTTATTTCCAACCCAACCAAACATCTGGTCCATGTGTTCATTTGTAACGAGTCTAAGAAGTCCTCTGAGGGTTCCCTGTGAGTTTTCTGAAGACATGAACTATTGAAGATCAGACTCTTCATTAAGTCACCTTCAGACGAGCTCTTTAGCCGTGTTTCCGGTCACCTCGGTTTGAGGTCGAGAGCCGATGTTGAGCCTCCTGCTGATTATCTGTATCAGCGTTTTAATTTACTGATCACTGATAAAATTAATTAAAAAGCGCCTGACTTTGGCGGCGCTGTAGGTGTCTTTCATGTATTCAGGGACTTCTTTCCTTCTTACCAGATCAGCCAGAAGTCGGTCAGGGTTCTCATTTCCAATATGGCGAACGTTGGTGTTCTCACTCAGACCACAGAGACAGAAATTAGTTTTTTTGTCCGACAAAGAAAGAAAAAACAGTTTTCCATTGATGCATGCGGGGTGAGCGGCTCTGTTACAAATCTCTCTTTATCGCTGAGTCTGTCTCTGTGTGTCGGGTCACAATGCCGTTGCTCTGGGGAGGCGGCCATGTTTGTGTTCTCCTGTTTGTCTGACGCCTGGTACAAAAGGTCAGAGGAGGAGAACGCTGGTGGCATTTGGAACGGCTGTGACTGTCTGTGTGTGAGAGTGTGTGTGGGTGAGACGGGTGAGAGTGATCCGTTTTCATCCCTCTGTGTGTGTGTGTGTGTGTGTGTGTGTGTGTGCATTATTATGTTGACTTATCGTTTTGTTTGTTTTAGGTACATGTGTGTATATGTGAGTGTGTCCTCTCTCTCTCTCTCTCTCTCTCTCTCCCTCTCTCTCCCTCTGTGCCCACAGTTTGAGGTTAATTATGGTGTCTGCAGTCAGCTCCTCTCTCTCTCTCCCTCCTCCACTCAGACCATGTTTCCTCCTGAGCCCTCTGACCTCCATCTGTCTGCACCTCTAATTCACTTTTTCGCCCACTTCCATTTTCTCCCTCCATGTTTTTGTCCGTTTCGTCCTCTTCCCTCTCTCTTTCTCTCTTATTTTTGTTCTTATCCACCATACACCCCCCCACTCGTTTCTCTCTTTCTCTTCTTTCTCTTTTTATTTCTCCTTCCTGAATATTTCCTCTTGTTTTCTCTCTCAGGACCAGAGAAGGGCAGATGCGTGGCGTCCGAGTATTTCACCGAGCCTGAGATCGAGATCACGACAGAAAACACGGCCAACATACTCAGTAAGTTAGAAACTGTACAGAATTTGATATTTCTCTGTTGTCTTCACAGTTTTAGTAAAACACTCTTCAGCATTTATCACACGACAGTAGAGAGGAAGGACTTCTTTGAACAGGCAGAAACCTCGAGCAGAACCAGATTCATGTTAGACAGTCATCTGCTGAGACTAAGCTGGGATTTCAAGGCCACCTGTAGTAGGGCCGGGCGATATGGCTTCAAATCAATATCATGATATATTGATCAGTTCACTTCGATTATGATAAAAAGATGATAACTACTCCACAAGCTGCTCAGCCCCTCACACATTAACTTAGCATACTTTAGCCGCTGCTCCAGCCGCCATGAATTTCAGTATCGGTAAATTTTCCGTTTATCGCCCAGCCCCAACTTCTTACCCTACCCCTCTGGACCAGCTCCTGCTATTTGACGCATGTCTTTCTCCACCCAGGTCTCTGCTCTATCCTCTGTTCTACCTTTCAAATGAGTCTTAAGAGCCCAAAACTGAACAGTTTAGATGAACCTCTCAAATCATAACCTTTGTTGTTAGTTTCTGAGTCTTGCAGTCTGCCTGGACTCTTTGCTGTTTTCAGTGTACTGGGGGATGACCAGTCGAAGAGCCTGAAATTTCATCAGGTATATAAACACCAGGGGCTCTATTTATCGCAGAGAACGCTGCATCTAGTTTGCAGAGTTTCATTTCTATGCAGATGATACTGTTGTTTACTGCTCTGCTCCAATGCGGTGTCAGAGAAGATTTCTCATTAATCTTGGACTCTAATCAAACTAAACCCATGTTTGCAAACTCAGAACCTCTTATTGATTATTGATTTAATGCCTTTTTATGCTTTATATTGAGCAACTCTTATGGAGTGTTGACACCAAGCACCAGTAAAATCATCGACTCGTGTGTCAACAGAGTGCTCAAAAGCACGTGCACGTCTTTGCATTGACTTAAAATGTTACTCACTCGCACTTAGCAAACAAACACCCAATGTCATTTAGACGTCTTTTTTTAGGCTAAATCACCTCAGACCGTCATGGCCGTAATTTAGCCTACACAAAAGACGTTGAAAACTGGGCTTTACTCAGACGGACTGAATCCAGACAGTGTTTGGTGAAGATGTCTTTTCAACGTCTTTTCCACCACTTTTTGTTGGGTGGGTGGTGTGAACGCCCCACTAAAGTAACAAAGTTTCAGCTGAGCTCCTATCCTGTGAAAAAACACTTGCTGCTGCTGTGTGCTGTTTTTATTTACATGATTTTCCAATACTTTCACCCTCTGGCAACTATAAACCAGAGAGTTTTGAGGCTTATGATAACTTTGAAGGCCCTGAGTCTTTATTTTCCTCAGTATGCTCGAGCTGACTTGCCCGCTCATAGACAAAATCACCTAGATGTCCTTGTCTACGAGGCAGTGCTAAATTTGTTACAATCCTCAGACTGTTTTTCGATGTGTGTCCGAGTATCTCAGGATCTCTTCTCCAGTGGAAATAATATATGATTCTGATGTAATCGTTGTATTTGGAGGTCTGGTTTTGTTCTTGGAGCTCCCCGCCCGTCCACATACCTCCGTGGGATGCCATTTTTAAAAGTGATGCTCTTAGTAACTGCATCATTTTTTAAAGACCTCCATGTAAACCGTACAGATGTTTTATTTTTCCGAACACTAGATTAATTTGGAGCGTCGGCTGAGGCTCCCCTCAGATCAGTTTTTTGTCTCTGAGCTGTTTAAAAGATTTAAGATGTTGACTCTGTGAAGCGGCTTCAAAGCTCTCTCCCCGCTACAGTTTGTTCTGTCTCTTTGAACTGAAGCACCCTCTGCAGTCAGAGGCACCGCGGGGGAAGGCATTTGGTCCGTTTAATGCCAGATAAATGTCCTCAGGTACACACATAAGTCACAACAGTGGAGTGGTGCTGTGGGAGAGGCGCCTGAATAAAACATGTTCGACCTGAGAGAGGAGCAGCAGGCCGCGGACCCGTGTGTCTCTGAACATGTAGAAGAAGAACGACAGACTACTTCTGCTCTTTATTTCAAACTTTTCCCTCTTTTCAGAAATGGTCCGCACCGCCACTCCCTTCCCCATGGTCTCCCTGCTCTTCGTCTTCACCGCCTTCATCATCAGCAACATCGGACACATCCGGCCGCAGCGGACCATCCTGGCCTTCGTGTCTGGGATTTTCTTCATCCTGTCAGGTACCAACCGGGGGAGCTTTAAAGCAACATGTGGCGTCTTTACTCAGGCCCTGTTGTTACAGATTCCGTTTACAAACAATCACAAACTCAGAACACATTTTTAAGCCCTCAGACTCCGGGCTTTTCTTGTCACAGTGTGTCTCCATGTTTACCGATTACTCTGCTGTGTGTTAGTCACAGCTGAGCAGCCGGGGAGACAAACCTCATTACACAACTATGAGATCTTTGGATGTGAGGTCTGCTGAGTAAGACAACATTTATCTAGGAATCCAAGGTATTTATCTGCAGAGTATTTACGCCAAAAGTCACAGCAGGTAACGCTACACCAATTACCCACCCAGATTTATCTCCTGCGAGGGGAACTTCTCCCTCAGCTGGTCTCAAAGGTTTACGAGGAGGTGATTAAACTCGACCGTGAACTCTCTCTTGCCTGCTCTCAGGTCACTCTTTTCTCCCTCATTTTAAATTGCAAGCTTTACAGTTTGGCTCAGTGATGCTCAGACTTAAGAAAAAAAAAAAGGTCCTATTACCGCAGATAAAAAGGCTTCAGACGCAGTTTTTATGTCAGAGATTTGAGAAGTTGAGGAGCTGAGGCGGCACTTTTCTCACTTTAGATTTCCTCCTTTTTGCCTCAAACTGTTTACGGCCTTTCTGAAGAGTCATGGTAATTTTGACAAAGAATCTGGATCGTTTCATCTTTGAGAGAGAGGTTGTATTTTCAACGTTAAAAAAGAAAAGGTGAGGCTGAATGCGTCCTCTTTCTTGTTTCATTTTTACGAATAAACCGAGGTTTCGTCTGAGCGAGTCTACTTCAGCCTCCAAACAAACGCTCATTTTAGGAACGACATCCCAGCCTGACTATTTTTAGCTCTGGCTGCAGGCACGAGGATTTTGGGTTATTCGTCCCATTTTTCCAAACGTGATTTCTCAAAAACTCTTGGAGGACACGTCTACAAATATGGAACAACCGTCCGCTCAGACCGTGCGGTGAATAGATTTGAATCTGAGGATTAAACGTTGGTATAACTTCCTTGTTTACTCCATTGAGAAGATGTTTTGGTATGCTACACTGAGAGGAGATTTTATTACATCTTGTTTATATCCGACAAGGATCAGGGATCTTTATTATCCTCATGGGGGAGTTTGTTTTACTGCTTCCAGCATCACTCAACCATCGCTCAGACGGCAGACAAGAATAACAAAACAGGATATTGATTAAGAAGAGACTCATAATGTGAAGTATCATTAATAAATCTGAAGCTGTTTATAAGGCAGAGGCCACATAAACTCTCTTTAAACAGACGCTGGTTCTGACTTTAACCAGAGAGCACATAATGGCGCATGAGAATCGATAATTGGTTCAAACTTAGGGGTAAAAGTTCATAATCAAACTGTGATGAGATGATTGAATTCAAAATATACAGTTTATTGACAGGCTGCAGAAGGTGCTCTCGTCGTGACCATTGCATAACACTCTATACCTCAGTAAATTTGTGCTGCATTCAGGGCCGTAATCAACCAAAGAAGTTCTCAGTCAACTAAAACCCTGAAATTTTCAACCAAAAATCGACGAATCGGCTAATTCCGACTCTTCTGCAGCAGGGGACAACACGGCTCGGCGAACCGCAGCTCGGCAGAGTGAAAATATACAGATATCAGAACAAGAAGGTAATTAAACACAAATATTATATTCAGCAAACCACCAGATGTTGACTAATGCCGACGCTCTTTAATCTTTCTGTCTCCAGCCGGTCTCCAGTGGGTTGGGCAAATCCAAAATGGTGAAAACAAGGGGGGTGTTCTGAGACAGGCTGTTACCTGTGAAAAGGGGATGTTCTTAAAACAGCCCCATTAGCACTTGGTACGTTCCTCCTTATGAAATTAACCATAGACTGTAAATTGACGCAGAAAAAAAGGAGACGACCAATCAGAATTCTGGTCAACTCAGCACGTATCGACCAATAAGACGACCAGTCGATTAGGAGTTTACAGCCCTCGCTGCAATCAAAGCCGCCTTTCTCAGACAGTCATGACACCAACTTATCTGAGACGCACCATGAAGAAGTAGTTTGGAAGACAAAGACTACAAATGCACGAGTTGAAGCAACAGATGGTGGCGATGGCGCTCATCTTGAGTGCAGCCACAACGACTTCTGTCCAAAGAAGTCACCAAACAACACAATGTGCAAACCTCTCACTGCCCCTTTAATTACACACCTGTAACTTTAGTAGCTTGAGCAAAACAATGTGCAAGACAGTCTCTGGTCTCTGCAAACAGGCAGAAAATATATGTGCATATACTGATGTTGTTGATTGGCTGAATCAAGAGAGAAAATAAAAGCAAATTAGCACCTAGATTTTATTTTTATCTGCATCTTTATGCAACAAAAACTCTTTTTTTTTACTACACTTGTACATCTGTCTTGATGTTGACTGACAGCAGTTTTTCATGCAAAAGAGACGAGAACTATTGACTTGTATCCTGATAAGTACTCTCTCTGGCCTTAACTACTCTGATAAAACCACCAGACTGCAGTTCATGAGGCTTGTAGCATCCAGTGAAAGGGCTGAGGTTTGATTTAAGACCTGTGTGAAAATGTCAGTCCCCTCCCTCACCTGTCGGCTTAAGGAAGACGTTAAAAATCAGCAGAGCAGCAGAAGAGGAGGGAGCTTGTTAAAGTCAACATTTTTCAAGGTTAATGATAAAGAGACAGCTCAGCGGTTGGAAGACTCTGCAGCTCTTCTCTCTCTTTCTGTCTCCCCAGCTGACAGCCTGTCAGACCTTACCTTGTTTCTGCTGCTGACTGAACAGTAGAGGGGATTTAAATCCAAATAATTGCTCCCTGCCGAGGAAGCTGCAGGACGGCAGTGATTTCATGTTCCGCTGTCGGCTTCTGATAAAAAAAAAAAAGAAGAAGTTCAAACTGAAAACTTAAATTGTGTTGAAAGTGACTTTGGTGTAAGTTGTCACATCAGTCAGAAAGTCAGTAATGAGGAGTTTGGTTTTCTTCAGGATGGCAACTTTTTAACATCAGGGCGATAAGTGGACATGACACCAACTCTAAGACATCGCTCTCTCCCTCGGCCGTGCTGCTGGAGCCTGCAGAGCTGGGCCGAAACTCGCTTCGAGAAATGTTTTATCACCCGTCTTCTTTTTATAGATCCTGACCTGAAGCATGAGCACAAGCATAAGGGTGCATGTTGTACAGCACATCCCTGCCACTGAACATCTGTGATGATTCAGAGCCAAAACCCACAGTAATGGACAAGCATAGCCCTTTACTGCCTTTTGTATGATATTTGATACATACTTTAATGATACTTTTATCATAATATGATCAACAAATTACTAAAAATACACCTTAATACAGTCTGATAAATGATAAAAAAAAAAAGTCCTCTTGTGGTTTATCAGTTTCCAAAAACATCTAATGTGTCAAACAAGATAAATAAATATATTTGTTAAATTTTAAGGACATTTTGACTTTTTTGGTTTTCAGTATTAAGTGAAATAAACATTTCAGCTCCAAAAAATTAGTTTTCTGGCCATAACTCGTGGTTTCAGGCATGAAAGGGTTAACACCGTGAATATTTTCTTCTTTCATAACAGTGAAGACACCTCCATTCGTCAGAGTTTAGGCCTCAAGAATACAAAGGAAAAAAGACAAAACTGGACAAAAATGTGCAGAAAAATCTATAAAATGCAATTCTTCTGATGGCCACTAGGGGGCTGGTCCCGAAAATGAGCCAATCTCTATATAGGTCCATTTTAAGACCCCCAAAATTTACAACAATAACCATAAACAGTTCATGTTTTTTTTTATTTCCCTTTGGGGATCAATGAACTTCTACTTCTTCATTTTTTAAATGGCAGGTTAGGGCTGGCAGCTAAATGCGAGGCGTAGCATAAGCTAATTTAGTCCCAGATTGTCTCATCTTCGCAGGGTTTCTTGCCGCAAGAGAAATTTGTGGGGAAAAAGATATATTGCTTACCACGTTTTATTTCATGTACATCTAAGTAAAATAAGTCTGATTTAACATAAAACAGATTTTCTTGGAATTGTCAAAATTTAGGCCTCAAAAATACAAAAAAAGACAGCTAAAACTGGACAAAAATGTTCAGAAATTTTTTGCAACTCACAATGAAGTGCTTAAAAATGCAGTTCCTCCGATGGCCACTGGGGGGCCGGTCCCGAAAATGAGCCAATATCTATTTAGGTCCATTTTAATACCCCAAAATTCACAGTTTCTCAGATCCGGGGCAGCTTCTTCTCTTTCTTCTTCTTCTTCTCCTTCTTTTTCTTCTTCTTCTTCTTATGACAGGTTCGGGCTGCCAGCTGTATGCCAGGTGTAGCATTAGCTAATTTAGTCCCAGATTGTCTCATCTATATTGGGTTTCTTGCCACAAGAGATAGTCTAAGTCTGACATAAATAAAACTGATTTTCTTTCATTTGTGAAGGGCAATGTAAGAAGACCAGCGTACTCACAAGTATCCACTCAAATGTAGACCCTCTTGCTTTAAAAACGAGTGTTTTTTGAGGTTGAGGTGTAATTTTCTGTGGTTTTGGAGTATTTTTTGGGGGGGTATTTTGAAGCTTTTGTTATCGTGCAAAGTTTCTCTAAAACTCCTCTGGAAAAAATCCATTTTTCAAATCATAAGTTTTACTGCCTTGAGATGGCGAGTGAGTGTTCGCATTTATCACTGTCAGAACCGGTCCACAGCAGTACTTCATCAGTTCGATATTAGCTCAAAGACATGCTTGGCTTAGAAGTCTAAATGTAGTTTTTCAGTGATGGATCAAAAGTGTGTACCTGACAGTGAAAAGACGGCCTCTAAGAAGCTGGTTGACTTTGTTTACATGCCTGAAGTCCTTTTTAATTAAGTAACAAAGACCACTTCAGGATCTATACCTGTAATCCATCTTCCTGTGTCACTGAAGCCCAACGTTTAATTACACAAAGTCCAGTCCGGTCCGCGCTGTGAGGTCTGTTCAGTTTGTGTGATTGTCCTGATGGGGAGGAGAGTCCTCGCTGCCAACAGGGTGACATCACGTCCTCGTGTCGCTGCAGGACAGCAGGGTGACGTTCCCGCTCGCTTACCTCGAGGAGGGGTCGAGCGCTCAGCTGATGAGGTGGATGTCGTTTTTTTTTTTTTGGACATCATTAGCATGTCTCTCTGAGCAGACAGGATGACATCACCTCTCTGTTTCATCCTCTCCCTTTTTTCTGCTCCAGGGAGCTTCGGCTCACAGATGCTGGCTTAGCATGGTGGACTGCTGACTGGACAGACGTGACAACCGTGATGTCATGTCGGGTCTGAGAGCCAAGACCGAGAAAAACCACATGGTGGTGTTTACATATGAGTCACACGGATGATCTTTGAGTTTTTTTATTTACTCCAGATCAGCCTGTGTGTGCAGATTAGGAACTAAAACAACACATAGAAATATATACACTAGAGGCAAAAACCAATGTGTACACTATGAGAAAAAGACAATAATCCCTTGAATTCATTATGAGATATGTGCATGAATCCATGTATCTGTTACCTATTTATCAAAACCTTTAACTTGAATGAAGATTGCCATGAAGGAGAAATAATATGTGAAAAATTTCCTGTCACTACAGCTGTGTTTACACGCAACGCTTTCCTCAATATGGTTAAAAATAATTGTATTAAGTGAATCAGATGTGACCTGTATACATGAACTTAGGGCTGGGCGATATGGCCTCAAATCAACATCATGATATATTGATCAGTTCACCTCGATAACGATAAATGGACGATAACTACTCCACAAACTGCTCACCCCCTCCCACATTAACTTTGTCTACTTCAGCTGCTACAACTTTTGAACCGTCCTCCATCTCCTCACCTGTCTTTCCCTCTTTGTTTCAGACTGAATGGGGTGGAGTCACGTCTCTGACGTAGGACATGAGACCATAGCCTACCTACCATGAACTTATAATATAGCATTCCAGGTGTAGTCCATGTTTTACAGCTGAATTCGATTGATTAGCCCCTATGACATGCGCAAAAAGACTCTCAACCTTCAAAGGTGTGAGTGACAAAGAGGTGACTTTTATTTGTTTACATCTGGAAAATGGATCATGTTTTATTGTTCCTTATCTTTTATTTATTTGTTTTAATGTTTTTGTTGTGCTTTGGTCATAACTTACAGGTTTCCTATTTCCTTTTAGCGTCGTTACACGGGCCGTACGTACTTTGGCGCTTGCACAGAACGAATAATGCAGTCTATCAACTAGGGCTGGGCGATAAACCAAAAATTTACAGATACCGAAATGTATCACGATAACTGACGTCTTTTCCCATATCGGTATATTCGGTGTCAAAAAAATAAAGTTGGTTTTGGATGTGTGTAGGTAGGCTATGGTCTCATGTCCCTTTAAGACGCTGTCCTACGTCAGAGACGTGACTCCACCCCATCCAGTCTGTAACAAAGAGGGAAAGACAGGTGAGGAGATGGAGGACGGTTAAAAAGTTGGAGAGGCTGAAGTAGACAAAGTTAATGTGGGAGAGGGTGAGCAGCTTGTGGAGTAGTTATCGTCCGTTTATCATTATCGAGGTGAACTGATCAATATATGGTGATATTAATTTGAGGCCATATCGCCCAGCCCTACTATCAACAGAATACAATCCAGTCAGCCATTTATATGTGGCATCAATCATATTGTCAATTGGCGTAGACTACCTCCTATAATCAGATCCGAAATTTAATCCGGTCACTAAGGTGTTTACATGACACATTTTTAATCTGATTGAGCGTTTATATGATTGTACGTAGGGTTTTATGATCCATGTCAACACAGTGGGCCGGGAATTGGTGCAACAGTGAAGGTATACCAGGTTTACCCACAGTCACAGAGGGACCCAAACTCTGCCGTTACTCGGTATGATGGATCTCAGACAACTTGAGCAAGAGCAGACAGCCGAGACGAGTGAGGGGAAGTCAGAGTCAGACCGGCGCTGTACGCTCTACCTCCCTTCATCGCGACCTCGTACGTTTTGGCAAAAGCTGGTATTTGATCGGGACTTTGACAAACCTGACTGTGTTCATTATATACAAATCCTCATCACTGTTTCATGAAGTGAGTCCCATCACAACGCCACAGCTCAGAGTCCTTACAAGCACTCTTGGATTTCTTCCAGGACATTAAGGACTGCACGGCCCAAAAGGTTTTAAAACTGGATGAGCTCAAATCCGAGCTACTTCTGTTCGGAGCCAACACCACCTTGATTTGCAACAATGCTGGCTCGCTGTCAGCATGTTTTGCACCTTGAGCCAAAAAACCTTGGGGTGATTTTTGACTTGCACTGTGAGCCTCAGTCCAGATGAAGCATTTCTTACTCCTGGAGACACTAAAAAACTCTTTATGCGCTGATATTTATCGAAGAAGAGACAACATCAATCTGCAAGGACACTGAAGTATTCTACTTATAATTAGAGATGATGAAGTAACCGAACAAGTCCAACAAAACAATGATTCTTCTCGTCTTTTGTCGCGTTTAAAAACTAATTCAACACTCAGTAATTGCTCGGCACCCTCTGAGAAGAATAAAAACCTGTCCCCGTCAGACTCAGTCAGTTTTCTGTCTGATTGCACAAAGAGCCCAAAAATCGATGATTGCCATTTTCACCTTGGAGACAACTAAATGACAATAACACAGAGCTGCTGCTGCTGCTGTTTTTTCTTCTCCTCCTTGTTTACCATAAAAGAGCATGTATTTTCAGAGACAGCGGCACCGTGATTATTTCAGACACAGCAGGGAGAGGACACAGACATCAGCGGCGTTTTGAGGCAATTTAGGAACAAAAGCAGCTCTGTTTGTCTGCACTGTCTGCCAGTGTGTGTGTATTTTTGTGATAAAACCAGCCATCAGTCGCCCCGAGGTTACAACATGGAGGCTGCATGTGGACCAGCTGTTTCACACCAGCTCTCCTCTCTCTCTCTCTCTCTCTCTCTCCTTTCTCTAAATTCTTCCTCTTTTTCCTGCTGACTTCCTCCTCCATCTGCGAATGTGTGTGTCTGTGCGCACACGAGGATACACATGTGGGGCCCAGTGACACACAAGTTGCTCCCTGAGGCTGTAGTAGAGATGAGCATTCAGCCACAACACTGCCATCTGATGGCTGATATTAGACATTACAGTTACAGTCCTCAGATTGTTCTGTTTTTTTTACCTAAAGGTCTGATAGATTAATTCTCCCAAAGAGCTGTGATGGGAAAAAAAAATATTTTGTATAAGGTGAAAGAGTTTATTATACGTTGGTCCATCCTTTTTTCAACATATTAGTCTCTTCTGTCTTGTGATCACCTGTCATTAAATCAGGATTTGACAATTATCCTCTTTCATCGTCTTTTATATGTATAAGTTAAGTGAAATGTGTCATAAAAATCCCTCCAATAGAAAAGGATTTCATGGTAAAGTAGGGTGACCATATTCTGAATCCCCAAACTACCGCGCTGGGTGGAGTCGCGGGCAAAATTTTGAAGGTTTTTTGGGTCGGGTCGAATGTTTTTTACGCGCTTCTAATTCAGTTAGTCCACGCTACACAAACTCAAAACTTTCATACAAAACCACAGACATTTAAAGGATTTTATAAACTCCTTCAGACAGGCCGGACAGCCCCCCAAAAAGAGGACATGTTCAGGTAAAAGAGGACGTATGGTCACCCTACATAAAGCAAAAGTGTTTAGCTTGCAGTTTTTTTTTCAACTTTTATCAAAAACCATGAATCAAGTCAACAGCTGATATCCAGGTGCTTCTTCTTCTGCCTTCTGACCCCACTGAAACTACATTGTACTGACGAGACCAGACCATAGTACAATAAAAAAGATATATATAACTATAATAATTAAAAGGGTCAAGGAGTGAGTTGGGCTCGAGGTAGGGGAGAGTCAAGGTAGAAAGGGGTGAGTACAGGTGAGAAGAGTCTGGTTGTCGTCCGGAGAAGAATAAGTTAGGGGGGAATAGTTAAGATGAGGTTTGGAGAGATGGGTTGGAGTCGAGGTAGAGAGAGAGAGAAGTTGGAGTCACAATAAGGTAGTGAGTGAGTTGGGGGTAGTGGTAGGAAATGATAAGCTTGGGTCAAGTAAGAGAAGGATGAGTTGGGGTCAAGAGGGATCAATTGGGAGCAAGGTAATAAGGATGAGCAGGGGTTGAGGTAAGGAAGAAAAAGTTAGGGTCCATGAATGGAGGGATGAGTACGAGTCCAGGTGAGGAGGTTAGGGTTAACTCCTGGTGGGAATGAGTTGGGGTCAAGGTAGGAAAGAGTGAATTCAGAAGAATGTTGGGAGGGAGGAGTTTGGGTCAAGTAAGGATTAGATTAGAAGATCTGGCATCAGGGTTGGGAGGACTGAGTTAAGATCGAGGTAATAATGGAGGACCTGAGACTGAGGTGAAGAAACATTAGTCAGGGTCCACGTATGAAGCGATGAGTTTGGGTCGAGGTAAGGCGGTCAGGGGTCAGAGATTGGAGCAAGAAAAGAAAATCTGGAGTCAAGGTAGGGAAGCACGAGTTGGGATCAAGGTTAAGGAGGTTGAGTTGGGTTTCGGGATCAGGGACGGAGAGTTGGGGTCAAGATAGAGAAGGTTAGTCAGGGTCTAGGTCGGGAGGATAAGTTTGGGACCAAGTTGAAGGATAAGTTGGGGTCAAGGTAAAGGTTAGGACGGGTTTAGGTTTGACGGGTGTGGAAAAGGTTGGGTGGGAAGAAAAGGGATGAGACTCGGGGTGGAGGCATGCCTCAGTATCTTTTATTTAAGCATCTCCCTTTCCTCCTGAGTTTGGACAAAGATGGTTCATGTTCACAGGAACAGTTTGTGAGTTGATGAACGGCAGGTTTTAGAGGTGATGATCTCCTCCTGAGTGTTGGTTGGACTGAACTTCATTTAGCTCAGAGAAATTTCCTTTTTTCTTACCACCTACAGTAAACAAATGTCCTTCTTGTGCTGCTTTGATTATCCAGATTATACACAGCTGCTCCGCTGCTGAACAGGTACCTGTAATCAGGGCCAGATGGTGCTCAGACAATCTGTTTTTACACAAAGTTTACTTATCTCACAGTGTGAGGCGAGGAGGAGCCCTCTGAAGGACACTTTCACCAGCTGTTTCTGTGTGAAACCGACCGAAACTCACTTTAAATTTAGAAAACTGTTAAACCAAACTACTCAAACGAAATAAAATCAAAGCAAAGTTTTTAAAGTTTTCAGGTTTCTGTCCTTATTTTAGACTTACTTTAGTCTGGACTAAATCAGCAGATATAAGAACTACTGCTTTGTCTGGGACGGACACAGATTAAAAGATTGTGTTTGTGCCGCTGTTAAGATCTTGGACTTATAGTTTTTGTCTTATTCTCTGCAGCCAGCTAGTTTTAAGGCACCGGTGAATCAGCGCTGGTTGTTGTCAGACAGCCAATTCAAATTATTTGTGGTCTCATTTAATCTTTTATTGCAGAAAGAGTCAAAGATTAAAAACATCTGCACCGGCTTCAGACAGTCTTATCTCTCTCCTGACAGAACAGCGATCGCAGCAAAGCGTAGAAATATCGCCGCTGTACGAGTTTTTGGAACCACAGCAGACAATAAAGTGTGAGTAATAATGACACGGTGTACGAGAAGAGCCAGCAGCGTGTCTGTCTGAGTTTCAGGTTGACGGGACCCCGATGACAACATTTTATTGATCTTTTATAGAGTCTGTGCTCACTGTTTCTTTTATCCACCGCCGTCAGTCTCTGAAGGTCAGAGACAGAGATGTACTCAATAAGGCGGTTACCGTCTGCAGGAAAACGGCGGCTGCTGTTCGGTAAACTGCAGAATCTTTATTAAAACAGAGACATAAGACTTTCTATCCTTTCTCTATCTGTACTCTCTGTTCCTGCCGTCTACTCTCCTCAGACTTCAGTTCGATAAAACCACAAGGTCTCGACTTTTATTTTCCTCTGTAAGTTAAGGGACAATGTTTATTTTTTTGGCTGATTACCTCGCATTTATCTTATAAATCATTTAATGAACAACAACACCTGAAGCAGCCTTTTTTCGTTAGGTTACATGTCGCTAAATTCAAGTTTAATGAAAAAGTTTAACAAGTTTAGTAAAAAAGTCAGTCAGACACAGGAGATGTCAGATACTGTCTCTTTAAGGCTTCCTCCAACAAAATCTGCTGTCTTCTGATTGGTTAGCTTAGTAGAACCCTACTAAGAAGGGAATCTGTTGTCATAGTAACATAACTATAGCTTAGTTAGTTAGTTAGTTAGTTAGTTTGTTAGTTTGTTAGTTTGTTTGTTTTTTCGGTCAGGTTGGTTGGTTGGTTGGTTGGTTAGTTTGTTGGTTAATAGGTTAGTTCATTCATTAGCTAGTAAGTTAGTAAGTTAGTTGGTTAGTAAGTAGGTTTGTTGGTTAGCTAGTTGGTTAGTAGGTAAGTAATTTTGTTTATTCATTAGCTAGTTAGTTAGTAGGTTAGCTAGTTAGTTTGTTTATTTATTAGCTAGTTAGTTAGTTGATTAGTTAGTAGGTTAGTTCGTTCATTCATTAGCTAGTAAGTTAGCGGGTTAGTTAGTTAGTAGGTTAGTTGGTTAGCTAGTTAGTACATTAGTTAGTTTGTTTATTCATTTGCTAGTTAGTTAGTAGGTTAGCGTATTAGTTCATTCATTAACTAGTAAGTTAATTGTTTAGTTAGTTTGTTAGTTTGTTCATTCATTAGCTAGTTAGTTAGCGAGTTAGTAAGTTAGTGAGTTAGTTAGTAGGTTAGATAGTTCATTCATTTATTAGCTAGTAAGTTAGTTGGTTGGTTAGTTATTTAGTTAGTTCGTTTATCCATTAGCGATTTAGTTAGTTAGTTGGTTAGTTAAATACCTTACTGTCAGAATCTTTAAAAAAAGTTATCCCACCCCCCCACCCCCAACATAGGTAGGGGTGACTTCTGAGTATTTGTGCACAAGTACTTTATACTTAAAACTCCTGTGGATGATTTTTGTCCACAAATAAATTATAGGTAAAAGTGTTGGACAGTCTAATTTAAGAAGAAAATTCTCTTTTATAACCATCATGGGGAAAATTGCATTGTCACAGCAGTAATGGAAAAAAAATGCATGTTTTTTTATTGTATAGTTTTATTAGATTATTCAATGAATCCCTAGAATAATCAATAGAATACTCTGCTGCTAAAATACCTGGCTCTTCTGCTTAAAGTGAGCTACACAGACAGATCATTTTGTTTTGTTCAGGTCTAAATTAGTTTGGCTTTTGTTTTATTGCATCTTTAGTTCATGTATCACAGCGCTAATACGGGGTTAAAATGAGAGGAGGAATAAAGCAGCCTGACTTGACCTCTGCAACCCCTCGACACAGAGGAGTAAACCCAACTTCACTTCCTTATATTGTAAATCTATAGCAGCTGGAGTTTATTCACTCTTTTTCAGTTAAATATACAGTTTTATGTAAATCTTTCAGGATATTCTAGGGAGGAGAGGAGCTGTGAGGTGATTTTTTTAATGAGAGGACGCTTCTGTGTCGGAGTTTCACTGCTGGAGGATTTTGGAGGTCGGCTGAATGTGGAGAGGAAACAAACCACAGATGATATTCAGTGTGCGTATGTGTGTGTGTTTTCATTTCTGGGTATGTGCTGTGCATTAATGTGTCGTTGACCATGAGCACACATACATTCACCGTGCTTGTAAATTACTTTGTGTGAGTGTGTGTGTATGTGTGTGTGTATGTGCACGCTGTGTTTCTTGTTTATCTCTCGGCTGCAGCCCAGTCTGTTGTTGGGCTTTCGCTCCGTCTATTAACAGTAACACAAGGACACATTATCATTAGCTATTCCAGCCACAGGGCACACACACACACACATATACGTATACATATAAATTTACACACAAACACACACATAAATATGAAATACAAAGAGACTAAAGCTCCATTCAAATGGGATTGGTATTACAGGGTAACAAGGCTAATGCAGCATTAGCTCTGCACCTCCCGTTTCTCCAGTTTTCTCCAGTTTACAGGGCGGTTAAACATCGCTGAGAGAGAGGGAAGGAGAAAAATAAACTCTGAGACTTCTCCTCCTGTTTTTAGATTGTTTTAGGAGACCAGCTGTTGATAAAACTACTTACTGACACACTTTTTACACATGTTATGGAAGTTCATATAGCAGATCAAATGAGATGTGAATGGAGGAAAATTTCTCATCACGGTGTATTTAACCCTTTTTTTTATTGGTAGTAATAATCAGAGACATAACCATGTTAATATAACCAAATTTACATTTTTGCATCAATAATAAGTAAATGTAGCTTTAGTTCAGAGTGCACAGTACATCAGCTAATCCTAATGCCAGGAGATCTCAGCTGACAGCTCAGCTGATTGCCCTCTATAGGCATCGACTTGGCAAACGTCAAAACGGATGTTTCATTTAATCTGCTTCAGCTGCATTTTTTCCACTTTACATCCCGCCTACACTCCAGCTCCTACTTTCTAATGCTGTGGATGATATTGTGGTGCCTGCTCTGCTGTGCACCAGGAGGGTCTTTGCTGCTGCTCTCCCCGTCACAGACTTTAACATTCCTCATATGCATGTAGAAGACAGGGAGTCGAACCGTCAAATATAAGTACTGCAGGCAAATAATTCAAAGTTACAAACCAATCTATGTATCATGAATCTATAGTAAAACTATTGATGTTCTTTAATGGGTGTTTTTCTTTACCTGCAGGTCTCAGCCTGGTGGTGGGTCTGGTCTTGTATATCTCCAGTATCAACGACGAGGTGATGAATCGACCCAGAGAGCCGGAGCAGTTCTTTCATTATCACTACGGCTGGTCCTTCGCCTTCGCTGCCTCCTCCTTCCTGCTGAAAGAGGTAACCCAGGAAAAACACACACACAGAGCAGGCGTGGAGAAAACTCTCACAGAATACATGCATGTCATAAAATCTGAATGTGCGTATTTCTTGGAAACGCACAAACACACACTCGCAGCTGTGTTACGGTCATGTGGACAAAACAACCCCACACGGACACACTGAGCGGCTCACAGCGACACTAACGTGCTCTGACACTTAACATTTACTAACACCCTGTAACTGACGAAAGAGTCAATGTGCAAAGACAAGCTCAGGCATGTTTGCACCTTTTCACCTGTGAGGACCTTCAGGATGATAACATATCCCCCAGACCGGCACTAAAAAGAATAAAACTCAGTTTTAATTTCATGGGTCTTAACTCATTCAGTGCCAATGACGGATTTGGACGGATTTTTCAGTTTTTTTTTTCTTTCCGCCAGAGGGCGCTCCTCCCCAACATGCGACTAAGTTTGGGGTCATTCTGAACGCAGAATAGCCGACAAATAGGTCATAGCTATGTTACAATAACAAAAACAAGTACTCGCCAGTGAGAAGTGTGCCAGTTAGCTGAGTTGTGGAGTGTTTTTCTCTATGAAGAGAGTAGGAAGATGCCAAAGTCATTAGCCAAGAACAAACGGTCTCAGTGCATCGGCTCCCGTGGGCACGATCTATTGTCTCTGGATCCAGTGGAGATCCCCGTACCGGACCTTCACATCGTCGGCCAACAACAAAGAAATAATTTTCCTGGTGAGGAGAACGCGAGCAGTCCGTGTGGTTTACGTCGCAGCGTCAGGGCCATAGACTGTATATACTATGGATAAGTTTGTTCCGCCCTCTGCCAGCATATGGATTTGAAGCCAAAAAGCTCTCAGTATTTCCACGATTTTTCTTCATTTCCTGAAACCAGCACTGCGCAGTAGAGTTGTACGCATTCAGCGGGAGAGTCGCCGAGAGTTGCTGTGATGACGCTCGGCTCAAACAGCGTATCCCCCGGGTGAGATACGCAATCCCTGAACACCAATAGGCCATTATCAGGTGTCAATCATAAAAACATGAACCCCCTAACAACTTTTAAAAACGGAGCTGCACAGAAACAGAGGGCACTGTTCTCAGAGTGGCTTCACCCAACGAGGAGGCAGACGCTGTCCATTCTGTATACAGTCTATGGTCAGGGCCAATACGACTCCCCACCGTCACAAAGTCACCTGACACAGTCGGATCTAGAGAGTGATGAGGAGTGCTGTTTGAGAAGTGAGAACCTTGATGCCACTGATAAAATAGTTTGAAGTGAAATGAAATCGACGATCAGAGTTCTGCTTGAAAGTTTCTCCTTCGTAAAAATCGTGTTTTTTCCAGGTTTCTTTTTCCAGATCAGCAAAGATGATATGACCACGCTGCATTGAGCGGACAATAACTAAACACAGGAGTGGGTTAGAGACAAACTTTTCACCCCTTTCTTTTGAGATATTGCACTTAATTCTCGTCCAAGCACAGGATATTCTGTGGGTCCTGAAAGATACAGAAATTTCTATTGTGGTCAATGGTGGCACTGGGTGAAAATTACAACCTAAAGTCATCTAGAATTTTCTCTAACTAATTGCGCCACCTATCGGGTCTGTTCATCGCCATTTGCAGCTTTAATTGATCAATTTTGTCTTTTTTGGCCTCAGTGCGTGCCAATCATAGCGGAGATGAAAATGTCGATTTAAGAGCAGCCAGAAAGGCCAAAAAATACCACATATTTGGAAAAAAACTCTCCTCCTTTGAAAGGTATTTGTGCGCACACACACACACACACACACGCACATGCACACTCACAAGCACACAGATTGTTTGGTATCTGACTTGGACGTTGACCAACCTCCGCTTAGCTGAACACACTCGAGCATGTGTACAAACAGACACACAAACTGCTCGCTGCTCACATGAAGACTTACTTAGCTAAACACACACTCTCTCACACACACTCTCTCACACTCACACACACACACACAGAGGAAAGAAGTGCCTGCGTAGGAGCCTGTCATCCTGCCTGCATCAATATTCATAAATGTTAATAGCCTGAATACTTGAGGGCAGCAGCAGCAGCAGCAGCAGCAGCTCTGTCGCAGCACAGCTTCATCAGAATATTCCTCGCGGGGGGCCGGGGGGGTCTGCTGCTCCTTTTCTATCTGTCATCCCTCTCTTTTCATCTCTTTACGAGCTCCTCTCTTTTTTTTATCCGCCTGCTGTTTTCCTTTTCTTCATATGTCCTCCACTCTTATCTTGTCTCTCCTTTTTTTTCTTTTATAATCATTTTTGTCGCCCCCTCCCCTCTCTTTTCTTCCCTCCTTATCTCCTTTGCTCCTCTGTCATTCCCTCTCCTCCTGTTATGTGTCCTTTCATCCTACTTTTTTCCCATTTCTTTTTATCCATCCTTTCATGACTTCAGGTGTTGCCTTCACTGGGTTTTCTTTCTTCTGTCAGGGCTGCCCTCTACTTTCTAATCTTTAATTCCTCCTCACTTCCTCTCCTTTTCCTTGTTTCTTCTCAGTCCTCCTTTCCTTTCCTTTTTTTCGTTTATTTTCTAATCTTCTCATCTTCTGTAAAACTTCGTCTTTTTCCTCGCTAACACATTCATCGGCGCGCTCTGGTTAAACGGGCTCGTGGCGATGATGTTGTGAATGAATAGTGAATGAGCTGTGAACGCTGCGAGAGCGGATGCCCGAGTGAAAACATGAATACATTTTTGATAATGGCTCGTTCCTGCAGGGAGCGCCAAGTCTTTTTGTTAACTCTCTGCAAAATGACTTTGGATTCATTAATTTTTTTGTCTCTCCTGATGGAGCCGCGCCGCCGTCTAGGGAGGATGATGTTGCTGATGCCGGTGTTTTATAAAAGCTTTTGACATCAGGGAATGTGCTGATAAGTCTCACTTTAATTCCTCAGGGTTATGCAGATGTTCAGCTCTTAATGGTGGAAATAGATTATTTCTGTTTCCCTGCAGACATTCAGCACTGATTGAAAGACACTGGTCCACCATATCTGCTTGATTTGGATAAACAGGGCTGTCTATGAAAGTCCTGATTACTTAAAGCAGTGGAGGCGGCTGATTAGACATTTAAGATCTGATTAAATTTGGGAAAATGAACGATTTTCACAAATATTCAGGTGAAATATCATTCATATCCTCTAGAATTTATACAAACTCTTCATTTAAACATGCTTTTATTAGTGTTAATACATGATTTATAAGTATTATACGGTATATGTAAAAGTAGACCAGATACATTAAAGGGATATTCCGGTGTAAATTTCAATTTAGGGTCAAACACACCGTTAGAGGGGGAGTTAGACACCCCCTCGAGAGATGAATGTTGCCGACCGCTTGTTTCTCTAGTTATACCAACTTTAGTAATGACCCCACAATAGCAATACACAGCAATACACCCACTCTCTTCCAGCAGCTGCTTGTTTGTGGGGGAGCCCTGATGAGTCGATCAGCGAATGCAGCGGGGTGACGCAGCTCAAGGAAGAACATTTATGATCATTTCTTCATCATTTCCTTGAAGTAATAATCATCATATTAATCATTTTGCACTGCAGACGCGGTAGTGCTTGTGCCGAAGCGCCTCGGACTGATTGAATTTCCATGAAGAAATGATCATAAATGTTCTTCCTTGAGCTGCGAAACTCCACTGCAACCAGTGACCAACTTGTCTGGACTCCCCCACAAACAAGCGGCTGCTGGGAGAGAGAAGGTGAGTTGTGTTTAGTCTCTTTGCAAAAGAAATTAGACAAAGTTAAAAAGATGTTTGGTGGTTAGTACTATGGCTGTGACCCTATATGTCCTGTTGATGAAGTTAGGTGCTGTTCTGAGCATTATTTGTGGCTATAGAGTGGTGTTTTGGTTGAGATTTGCAGGTGAAGACGTAAACCGCTCTGTATTGCTATTGTGGGGTCGTTACTAAAGTTGGTATAACTAGAGAAGCAAGCGGTCGGCAACATTCATCTCTCCAGGGGGTGTCTAACTCGGTGTTACAGTGTCTTTGACCCAAACTTACTTTTACGCTGGAATGTCCCTTTAATGCAGTAATATTTGCCCTAATGTAAACTCAAAGTATTAAAAACCCTGTTTCCATAAGAGTTTTGATGCTGTGTTTAAAGTTAACGAAAACAAATGTCAATAGTTTAAAGCCAATATTTCATTAAAAAGTCTTTAAATTTGACAAATTAATCACTGAAATTGAAAAATTTAATTGTTTTTTGACATTTAATGCAAAGATTTGTGATCGAGACCTTTTTTTTTCCCAATTTAAAGAGGAGAAAATCTTGTCCAATCTAATTTTGATTTGCAACAAGGTTAGTACAACTTGACAAAGAGCGCTCCAGAAAGCTGAGTCTTTCAGAGATGAAGATGGGAGCAGGTTCACCTCTCTGTGAGAGACCAAGTGAGCGAATAGTTGTCAGGGTTGTAAAGAACTTGAGGACTTCCTTATCTGCAATAAGTATCATTAAAGGTTGCGTTTGAGTTACCTCGGAGGTCAAACAAGAAAGCTACATCTACGAAAGTTATTTTAGCGCTTGTCTTGTCCTTGCTTATATTCGGACAAGGCAAACACTAAAGTAATCTTGTTTCTGCCTCCAATTTCGCTTTTTTCCAACTCGGTAACTGAAAAGCTGGTAACTCAGGTGTGGCGTCATTCCCAGCTTCGACCTCTGACTTCCGAGGTAACTGGAACGCAGCATAAGGCAGAAATCGTAGTTTGACACTCTTTTTGGAAATCATGGATGCTGTCCTCCGCTCCAAAGAGGAGAGGGACCGTCTGCTTGTTATTAGTCTACAGTTCCAAAACCAGCATCCCTGGTTTGATGAAACAAGGATGCATAAGTGCCAATATCATAGGCTAGTTCTCTTTTCTATGGCAGTACCATCGATGCTTAATGATATTGGCGGGATTTGAAGAAGCACATTACTTCTTTGAAATCTCCCGAGGGTTCAGATTAAACCTGATGAGGCCCCTCACTCAGTGCATTCACAGTTCTGTGTGTGTGTTTGTGTCTCAGGGTGCAGGAGTGATGTCTGTCTACCTCTTCATGAAGCGCTACGCCGAGGAGGAACTCTACAGGCCCCACCCCGCCCTCTACCGCCCCCGCATGTCCGACTGCAGCGACTACAGCGGCCAGTTCCTCCACCCGGACTCCTGGCCTCCTCCGCAGCGAGGCCGCAGCGCCTCCGAAGTCTCCTCCGACATCTCCATCCAGCTCAACCAGACCCCGCCTCCTCAGGCCCCGCCCAAAGGAGGCAGCAGCTCCCAGCAGACGCCCTCTTCCTCCGGGCCTTCATCAGCAGCCAGCTACCAGCTCCAGCCGGCCTCCTCCTCCTCCACCTCCTCTTCTTACCCACACCCCCTCCACATGGCTGCCACCTCCACCCTGCCCAGATCATCCCACGCCCACGCTCAGCCCCATCCCCACCCGAGCGGGCCTCCACCACAGTCTATGCCCATGGCGGCGCCTCCCTCAGCCGTGCCTCCCCCTCGCTATCACGCACACATGCGTATGAGCGCCTCGCCATGCTAGACTACATACGCAGGGGAAGGGGGGGGAAACACAACTGGGGGTGGGGTAGATTGGCAAAACGACACACTCACACACACACAAACACACAAAAAAACACATGAATCCTTAAAGCGTGGGAGGAGGGATCAAAAAGAGGAAGGAAAAAGGGGAGCAGGGCAGGAGGAGCAGGTGGGCGGAGGATGACTCACTGCTGATGCAGAGCCTGTGATGGAGAACAACACTTATCCAAACTTTGAAGATGCTGGGAGGGAACATGGGAGGGGAGGAGAGGAGGATATGATGAGGGGAGGAGGAGGAGGAGAGGAGGAGAGGAGGATATGATGATTAGCAGTGGTTGGGTTTCTGACAGGAACACTCACCATCAAGGCCGTGATAGACGAGTAACAGTGTGAAGCAGCTCAGGACGGAGGGAGCTGAACGTCTCTGAACTGTTTCCCATTCATAAAAAAAGACAAACTACGGCAGCAGTACGGCGCTCTGTAAATGTTTCTACACATTCAGCTCTTTGTCAGGTCATGGACACGGTTGGGAAGCTTTATATTTAATCTGTATCCAAATGTGAAACAGACGCCCCTAAACATGAATCATGTAAAAAGTAGGAACAGGGATTCCAACACACACAGCGTATCCCCCAGGTGAGCTACGCCATTTTTGTACACCCATAGGCTGTATCAAGTGTCAATCATAGAAAACATGAACCCCTAATAACTTTTAAAAACAGAGCTGCACAGAAAAAAGAGGACTTGAGCACAAACCAGTCTTACAGAAACTACATGTCAACATCGCAACCAGGGGGGAGAAAAATTTGTATTCTGTGTAATAAATTTCTAGAGTTTGTCCACAGCTCCATAGGGATTGCTGGAAGAGGCGGGATTTATGACCTATACTGCAGCCTGTCACCAGAGGGTGCTGTTCTCAGGGTGGCTTCACCCAGCGAGGAGGCAGACGGTGTCCATTCTATATAAAGTCTATGGTCGCCACACTCTGGACTCCTTCGCACATCATCGCGACCCCCAGATTTCTTCTTTGAGTAGTTTAATACTTTTAATGCCAATTCAAATACTTTTCAAAAACATTACTTGACAATCTATAAATGTCAGTGTCTACTAATGTGAGACTTCAATATATAATTCATAAGTTGCAACCAGCTTTAAATAGAACCAGGCCCTAGCATTTTCCCTGAGCATTTTTGTATTTGTATGAGAAAAGGTGATGTTAAAAATTTAAATCCAAAAACGTATAAATGCTCAAGAGATTTTCAAAAATAATGCAGTTCAGGTCGTGCACTTTAGCTGATTTGTTGGTATAATGTTCCACAATTATTTTCAAACTAAGCTCTTAACATGTTCTCTGTTTCTTTCCAACCTTGTCCATGAAAAACTGTTCAAAAATAATATGATAAAAATCGCTCCAGGATGACTTATCCATTACGACTGTCATCTTTTACCCCTGTAGCCTGACACAGAGGTAACCTGAACACGCACAGAGATTTCCACATATCCCTCCTCTCTCTCTCTCTCTCTCTCTCTCTCTCTCTCTCTCTCTCTCTCTCTCTCTCTCTCTCTCTCTCTCTCTCTCTCTCTCTCTCTCTCTCTCTCTCTCTCTCTCTCTCTCTCTCTCTCTCTCTCTCTCTCTCTCTCTCTCTCTCTCTCTCTCTCTGATGTTCTCGCCCGATCAGATGTTGCAGAAAGCTAATCCTGTACGACTATCACGGGGTGTAAATACTACAGTACATTTTAGGTGTTTTAGCTTTTGGATTTTCTAACTATGAAGTTTGTATTTTAAGAGGTGAAACCCCGGAGATGATGAATGTTCAACATTTCACGGAGACGGAGGACACAAGCGGAGAGACTTTTTAAAAGTGCCAAGAACGTCTTTTTTTTTTTTTTTTTTCTGTGATATTAGCATCAACTGAACAGGGAAACTTGGTTGTCATGGTAACCAAGGATAGGACAATCGAAATGGCTGCCTCGGAGCTTTAGTGCCATGGAAGTAAGACAAATATTTTAAGTGTGTATATATAAATATTACAAATTATACAAATATAAAGTAAATGATGAATATATATGAGAGATTCCTTCTCAAACAGTCAGGTTTGAGGGGATTATATCTGAATTTATTCACTTTAGAGAAACCAAAATTCAACAGATTATTCTGCACTGTAACCAACTTACTAGGAAATATGTGAAAAATCGTAAAATATCAACGAACAATATCATTGTAAAATTTTTCCAGGTGGGTTTTTAATGATCACTTCTCCCAAATATCGAGAGCAAACTTGTCTTATTTTGATTTCTAATGACAAAGTGCTTCCTGATTTGACAGATCTGAAACGGATCCAACACTTCCTGGTTTGACGTGGAAAATAGAAGGTTTATATTTAAAGGACAGACTGTACCAAGTGCCAACATGGTTCTCTGATGAAGACGAGCTTCCATGGGAGGCAAACTGAAAACCTGAGAGCTCCGTGACAGATGGCTTTGCATTTCAATTTACCTCCTCTTTTAATCTATTATTAATGTTCGTAGCTCAGCCGCCATTAATTAGAGGAAGATTATACATTACATATCCTTTGAGTCGGAGGATCAGAGGTGAGAGATCATTTTTACAGTGAAAAGAAGAACGATTTATGTTCGAAACATCATTCAGATGGAAATTCAGGAAAGTTAATGAGTGTTTTTTTTTTCTTTTTGGGTGTTGTGAGAAAACTGTCCAGTGAAGACGAACTCAGTGATGCCAATGTGTCGACTAGAGGCCAATTAATCAACCGCAGAGACCCGCGAAGGATGCTACATCTCAAGACACAGTTTAGAGTTTCACGGTAGGCAGCTGGAGAGGTGTCGGCGTTTGATTTAGGCCATGTGCACACGTAGCCAGGTATCTGCTGATACAAATCCACGAAGCCGCAGGATAACGTGATTAAAAACTGTGCTTTTGGAAAACTCCAGCCAAAGTAAAATTTTTGGAAAACTTTATTTCATCTCCGAAGGTATATTCAATAAAACTTATAAATAAATAAATAAATAAACGAATAGATAAACATCATATACTGTGCGCCCTTGTTTATGTCAGGCAGTGGACGGCACAGATATATACAGAATATATATTTTTTGTGAGGAGCAGAGGAGGAGGAGTGTTTTGCAGCAGGTTATTCCTCCACCTTTCTTGTGTCTTATTAACTTTATTCTCCAAAACAATCCTTAAAAGTAATTCCACCTCGTTGTTGGTCCACACGAACGAACTACACAGCGCCGTTTCATGTTTGGGGAAGTGACGACAAGAATAGGAAGCTTGCTTACAACCTAGTGTGCCGAGCAAATCCAAACAAACCGATAGTCCACCATCTTGATGCGTTCACTGTACGCCGGCGTTTTACCCAAACTTCTGTTTTTGCCATCAACTCGAAAACTTCCAATTGACGTTTCCTAGAGTTTGGTTGGTAAAGTTGTACAATGTAGAATGAGGCCTAATGGATGTAAACTCACATTTGGATCCAGCCTCTAGTGGCTGAATGAGCAACTGCAATTTTTGATACCTCTGCTGCCTAATGCTTTGAGGGTTGCACTAGCTTTAAATGATATTTGCAAATGAATCATTGAATTAACGTTGACTATAAAGCTACAATTTGTCGCATTTTTTCCAAGGACTCAACTGGATACTATGGTCACCAAAAAAACTGCATTTGAGAGCTTATTTTAATGACAGGAACCATGTTTGAGAATGTTTTGATGTGTATGCTGATGTTATAGATTGAGACGAAAAAATCAGGTATGGAGGACGATTAGATTACAACTTAATGTGCTAAGCAAATCCAAACAAACCGATAGTCCACCATCTTGGTGCATTCAGTGTAGGCTGGTGTTTACCGAAACCTCTGTTTTTGCCTTCCACTCGAAAACTTCCAATTTACGTTTTCTAGAGTTTGGTTGGCAAAGTTGTTTAATGTAGAATGAGGCCTAATGGATGTAAGCTCACATTTGGATCCAGCCTCTAGTGGGTAAATGAGGAACTGCAGTTTTTGATACCTCTATTGCCAAAGCTTGCAGGGTTACACTAGCTTTAAATATTTTCAAATGAATCATTAAATTAACGTTGACTTTAAAGCTGCAGTTTGTAGCATTTCTTCAAAGGACTCAGCAGGATACTATAGGTGCCAAAATGATGTGTGCATTTGCTGTGTTTCTTGATGTTATAGATTGAGGCATATCCCATCTGTTTACATGGAGGAGGTCTATTAATGAATGACGCTGCAATCTGTCACTGGAGGAGCTTCACTTTTGTCATCCATATTTTGTACGATCAATAGAAACAAGTAGACACATTTTTTTCCATTAATATAAATATCTACACACGGATATAATAAGACTTTGAGAGGTTTCCAGTTCGACTCCCACTGAAGTTCTCACGATGCACAGAAATTCAGAGAGACAAACTTTAGAGACTGCTTGTTTTTTGTAGCATATGAACAATCGTGCCCAGCGGAGGGCTTTGTTTGTAGCCATTTTTAGACTTACGGGAGAAAATACATGCAGCTTACAGCCTGTGGTACTGTTCGAGACAAACAGTGTAGCAAATCAACTGCTGTGTTAGCATCTTTTATCAATATTTGCAATGTGGAAAAATCCAATAGGAAACCATTTAGCAGCTGAGTATGAGAGCTTCTGCTGATGTTTTGAGATGTTTATTTTAATTGCCAAAGCTGAGCATTCATGCTGTGTAGTGAGCACACACACACACACACACACACACACAGAAATGTATTTATGTAGCCGACTTCTGAGGAGTTTTTATCCGATATCAATGAATCAACAGTGACGTCCACAGCAGAGACACGTTGCTCTGAAGCTGTAAACCATTTGATCAAGTGTTACCACTCGTTTTCTTCAGACTGTGATGAAGGTGTAAATATTCATACTAAAAATGCTGTACGCACTCCAAACCAAGATGTGTTTACATTATATAAAAGTAGAGGTTTACATTCATGTTTTGAGTCTTTGACT